GTGTGTATTAATAGTTAAATTATTAGTTTTCTTCCGAACTTTCTTCTGTGTGCATTATTACAATAAAATTACATTCTAAATAGTGTTGTGGACTTATTATTAAACCAACGTAATTGACATTAACATCTCCATAGACCACAGGACTGAAGTAAAACTTCTTTCGCTGCATCTATATGTAATATACATATGTTTATGTATAGTCGGACCAATTAATTGTAATTTAGCTTTTAAATGAAATAAAGTTATTTAAATTTTAGTTTCATTATGTCCGCCGACCGTCGAAATCATAATTGACTACAAAATATGTTATTATGATCGCAACGTATTTGGTAAAAGTTCTTTGTATTTAACAGTATGAGAGTATGCTCAATAGATTGTTCTGTCAGTAGGTGGATATTAGTATAAGTATATAGCATAGTAATACTATAAATGTAGTGTAGTATTTAGAAAATAATGAACATGGAAATAAAAAGGTTGATAAAGCCCATTTGTAATCATTTGACTGCAGTTTGCAGGAGAATTGCATCAACACACATTCATATATTAACGGGAGATGGTTGTAAATTAGCCGTCGTAATTTTTTACACTCCAAAATTACCTCAATCTGTTAAAAAAATATAGATTTCAATAGCAAGTAATAATTTAGATAGGTACCTCATTAATAATTCGTCTTATAATTAAACGTCAAGCTTTAGGCAGAGCCAAGCCGAAAACCTTCTATAAATCTATAATACTTAAAAAAATGAACTTAAAGTACATATTTCTTACTTGCAATAAAGATTCTTAATCTTGGACTTTTTATTTTAAATATTTCAAAAGATATTTATTTTATATATTGTAATTGTGTTTTGATTTGTAATAGTTGTTAATTTTCTTAATATACGACTTTATCGACACAAAGGGCAATGTCCATTTTTGGCCTAGCGTGAACAAGCTGCTATCAAAAAAAACAAGTTAATTTAAAAAAATATATATTTTTTTAGCTAGCCATTCTATTGTTGTTTGAGTGTACATTTGTATTTTATTGAAAAAATATTTTTAAAGTAATTTCGTTGATTTGCTTTATTGATCCACGTTTTGTGTTACCAGTAAGATCAATTAACGATTGAGTCAAATAGAATCATCTCGCAGTACTTAATACAACTATAAGTATTTAATACAAAAAAAATTAATAATATTTGTTTTTAATAAGTTTCATAATTTAGAACGTTTTATATACTGAAATATGAAGAATGTTAAACGTAATCATATCTGTTTTCGATCGATTTTCTAATGATTTTTTTCTATTGCAACACTAATAAAACAAAAAAATACAAATTGACATTGATATGTCACAGACTGATTGCTTACATTCGCTTTGTTTACCTTCATTGAGAGTGTTGATTTATTGTGGATTTTCTTTCAACGATTGTTTATTCATTATGGACCTATCTTTTTCCAATGACCCCTGCACATCTACGGACCCCGAATTTCGCTCAAACGATGACCCTGGCTTTTGTATTATGGACTCCGATCATAGCATAAACGATGACCAACACTCACGTAATATGGGCCCCGCAACTAGCTCCATCGCTAACCACGGCTTGAATATGGATATTGAACAAAACCAAAGCGTGTCTCATGATAGTCTGCACACAGAAGAAGTGACTTCTTACCAATCCGTATCTCTGAGATGCATGAACTGTGGAACTGATTTGATAGAGCGAAGGCGACATAGTCTAGATCTTAATCAGGTTCAGTCTATTATAAGACAGTGGATAGCTCCTCGACGAGTAAGTGTCAATTCAATTAATTATTTAAATTACTCGTTTTTTAATAGATATGTATTGTATATGCTATTCCTATAATGCAAAATGAGGTTTTATTGTTTTATATAATTATAATCCTTATATACTGTTGTATTATAATAAATGAAAAGATGTTTACCCCTAACACATTAGCTGACTTTGTTATCGAAAATAATTTAAATAGAAGGCGGGCAGATTTTCAACCTATAAATGTAAACATGGATAGTTTCATATTTCCAAGAATAGAATATAATGATCTTATATTAATTGCATGTGGAACATACCTACTAAAATAAGCTTGTTTGTATTATGGGCAGCACATAAGAGGCAATGGTTCCTATACTATAGAAGTATGTAGAAATATAGCCAGTGACCTATTGGTTGACTACCCGATTCCTTTGGCCAACTGCAGATTATTGCGTGGAAAAATACAAAGCAGGCATGTAAGTCGAAAAATATATTATATGAAAATAATCACAATGGTAAGGAAGCTATAAAAGAATATTATTGTAATTGCATGGTAGCCCGAAGGACAGTGGGTTGCTGCGCTCATATAATGATTATTTCATGGTTTTTAAGTTGAGCAAGGTATCAGGAACACATTTCACCACCTGTCCAATTTCTTGAACACATATTAATAACATATGATGTCTCAAAATAAAATTAAATCATAAAAAAAATTCTTTTATTTCACTTTAACCTGTTTTTCCTCACATGACAAAAATCTCTTAAACATTTTGATACAAAATTAAGTTAAAAAAATAGTTAGTGCTTTAAACTAATTACAAAAAAATATGATAAAATGTCTGTTCACGTCAGGCCAAAGTCCCCATACTAAGTGGACAATCCTTTTTGTAGTACTATTGGTAAGTGGGAGTTGCAAACACGCCAATTGGTAGTTTTATCTTGAATTCAAATGAAAGTTTGTAAACAAATCCGTGTCTTAAGTATTATTAATTATCAATTATTTTTTAAAGTGATTCAAAGCACGTTGAGTTCTATTATTAAAAACAGAATGTTTCTATCAATGTGTGAAGTCTCGGATCATTTAGACGCTACAACAAGGAGCCGATGTTTTCTTGAAGGCGAGCAAGTAGTGAATTGCAATCATTTAATTTACACTGGAATCTTAAAGGAATATGAATTATTGTCTTATTGCATGCAATCGTCCAATACTCGGGGTCCGGGGAGAACCTCACGAAATAACAACAGTAATTAGTAAAACCGGTAAGATTATTTTCTCCGAGTGTAGTTGTATTTAATCTTTGTTTGCTTTTGGAACCCACAGCTAAATAATAAAGAAATTTTTAAATTTTATTTTATAAATATTATCACCTGTTAAAAAATAATCTGACTTCTTAAAATGTAAAGAACAAACTTGCATGTGATCACTAATATTATTGCTAATTTTTGAATCAATTTGCCACGTTTTTCTATTATCTACATTTTCTTCTTGACTACACGCATTTGTAATTTTAACGAAATTATTTATTTTAGGAAATAAATGAAACGCTTTACTCTTACATCCATAAACACAGTAATAAGCTTTACTTTTTGTTTCTTTTGAATCAAAACGTACACCTGAATCATCATCATTTTTTTCCATTTCAACTTTAATTTTTTATTCAACCACAATTATAAAAAATGTAAATAATTTGCGAATTAATGTTCACAATTACAATATAATCATAATGGACATGCGGTACGCGTATAATCTGCAGTAATTTTTAGGTTTATAAAGAGTGAGAATGATGGCTTATGCTTTCGGTCTAGCTCTTTCCTCGCATCACTCCACAATTCACGTTACTCTGTATTGTGGATAGCGTTGCGTCCGACGTGTTTGTAGTAAAGACTGATTGTTTTTGTTATGTTTCAAATTATTTATTAGATTAATTTTTGTATAAAATTTATTGTGAAAATAAAAATATATGAAAAATGGTTCAATATTGTTTTATATGCAAATGGAAAGCTGATAAAGAACCGAAAAGATCTTTTCACAGGTAAGTATATAAACAATGACAATTTAAGGTTATGTACATTTATTACAAATTATAATAGTAATTAATTATCAATATAATGTCTATAAGCAACTTTTTAAATATATATTTCTCATTTATTTTAGATTTCCGTTGAAAGAATCAGAAAAACAAAAATGGCTAAGCATTATTGGAAAAAGTGGTGTGAATATAGGTAAACGAACATCAATCTGTTCAATTCATTTCGAAAAGTCTTGTTTTCGCTATGGATTAGTCAACAACAGAGAAATACTCAAACCTGATTGTGTTCCATCTTTATATTTGCCTAAAACAACAGGTGATAATTGAACAATTTTTTTTATTTACAATTTGAAAAAAGTAGTTTGAAAAAGATGTTTTATGTTTATTTTTATTACAGAAACTTCAAAACCAGTAATGAATATCCCACCTGAGCTTTCTGTACCTGAGTCATCTCTACAAGATTGTATTGATGAAAACTGTAGTGAAATTTCTGCGAGTACATATGAAGAATTACAATCAAATAATGGATCGATGATTTCAACAAAGTAAGGATATATATTAAGTTTTTTATTGTAGATATTTCATAAATTCTATAAATGTAGGAAGTAAGGGTAATTATTACTATTTACATAGATCCTTTAATAATTATCAATATACATGTATATAACATTTTATATGGTTATAAATATATTTAAGAACGTTCTTGTATATTCGAGTAATGAGTTAAATCTACGAACTTAAAAGAAATTATATTTCATAGATGTATATTACACGGATTTAAATTTATTGATTACAATAATTAATTCAACCGTATAATTCATACGTCATCAATACTAAAAATGCTTAAAACCAGAGAAAGTGAGGTTCAACGTAAAGCTGTATATGACATTAGCAAATAATAAATTATCCAGAAAGGGCTCATAACGTCTTAAGTACGGTACTATTTTCAGAGAGGTAAAGATAGACTGAAACTTCATTTCCTCTCTTGCTTTCGGAGTGCCACAATTTTCATCACTAAGGCATTTCCATTAGTATATGTCGATGCTATAGGGTACAAAAATATTTTTACGTCATAATGACATTTGACACTAGTGTAAATTATTTACTATTTTGATTTGAAACAGAGTTTTCGCTAATATTTTAAAAATAATTCTTAAAAGCTCAAATAATACAAATATAACTTGTATAATTAAACATTATTTCTGTTCAAAGAAACATGTCGGAGACAGTTTTGTCGAGATTTAAAGAGATTTGTCGCTGTTGTCATTCAGAAGGAAGTTTTAAATCTCTTAAAGAATCGTACAGGTTCAGAGGAAAGATAGAAATGTACAGCGACATGCTGACGGAGACCTTTGGATTAAAGGTAAGTTGGTGGAAAATTACTATTATGTATAAAATCTAAATAATATGGACGCTATTTTGTAAACAATTTTCAGGTTAAATCAGTTTAAATATAGTTTAATTAGTTTCGTTTTCAGTTTGAGTTTGAGACGAAATATTAAATTTAATTTTATCAGAACAGAATTTTTCTAGAATTATTATTTCAACTATGTTTTCCTGTCAATAAGTTTGGGCTAATTTATAAATATATTTTCTATTTTTTAAAGGAACATTTAAGATCAGTTATTAATAATTATCCTAAAAAAATATTGTAATATTCTCACATAAAAAGTATGTTTACTTTTGATGTTAAAATTTCTAGTTAAATCCAGAAACACTTGAAGTTGGCTGTAATATTTGTGATGATTGTGTTGTAAGGCTCCGAGATTCAACCAGATTTAAGAATCAAGTAGAAGCTTGTGAAGAAATGTTCAATCAGATTTATGGTAAATATGCAATTAGTCAATTCATTAAGAAAAAAATTCTTACCAGAGGCAATTTGGCAATTTTTTATTAGATTATATTTTGAGAATATTTAAGTTGTTTCTTCATATTGTAATATTTATTAATTATTATGTATTTTTACATTTTTCTATAACTGTAATCTATCTTACTTTAGAAGTAATACTTTTGAAGTAAATCCAAAACTGAGAGTTACACATGAGAAAAGGAAATATTATTAAAAAGTAAAATTTTTATAGTACAGGATATAAAAAAATATAACTTAGTTATATATATTTAATAAGAGTATGTTATAGAATATAGTACCAACAGAACTCAAGTAATAAATGAATCACTCACACACACACACAATACACTCACACATACAAACACACTCATACTGTACATTCATATAATATAATATTACTAATAAACTAATCACATAGTGAGGATGCATAGCAGTTTTAACTAAACACCACTGAAATAGATAAGCCTATAATAATAACTAATTATAACCTTTTATACAAGGTACTAAAAGACTTGGGCTTATCCAGAACTCACATAAATACATTCTTGGAACATACTTAAGCATTCCTAGTAGGTTCGTTTAAAATTTGGTAGAGAGAGGAGCTTGTTTAACGCGTTAGATAGGGTCCCTTAAACCTACACCTGGGTCACAAGTCCCAGTCACTGTTGAAGCTCCTCTCACTACAACGATGGACCCGACACACGCATATGAATACATGGAATGATGAGAGGTTTCGTTTCATAACTATTAATAAAAATATTTTTTCATTCACAGCACAGTATTATAAAAATATTAAAGTGGAAGTGGATGATGACAGTGATTTTGAAGTTAAAAATGAAGTTGAAGCAGCAAATGAAGTTGAATTAAATGAAGTGAACTATTCAAGTGATGTTAGTATCAAGCATGAATTTGTTAATGATGATAGTTGTGGTGATATTGATATAGTGAAACACGAAGTTTCATATTCTGTTGACGACGAAAATGTATGGAATGTGGGAAATGGGGATCATTTTGAAAAAGATAAAGGTGGGTAAACAACAACATATATGTATGTACATTAGCTTTCCGCCCGCAGCTTCGCCCGCGTGGAGTTCGTTTATATCGCGTTTCCAAGAGAACCTTTCAAAAGTCCGGGATAAAAACTATCCTATGTTCTTTCTCAAGGTCAATTCTATCTCTGTACCAAATTTCTTTAAAATCAGTTCAGTGGTGTAGGCGTGAAAGAGTAACAGGCAGACAGACAGACAGAGTTACTTTCGCATTTATAATATTAGTAGGGATTTACAGTTTCTTTTTCTCACGGTATTCTTTCATTCGTTCAGCAGCGGTTTTCGCCTGTTTTTTTGTTCTAAACCCTCTTTTCTTCTCCCTCCAACGCCTTGTTGCTTCCGCAGAGTTTGCTCTTTTTTCAGTTATACTAATTTGAGATCGTCTAGTCACTTGTTTGTCATCTTGTTGCTTATTTTGTTGTTTAATCAGTGCTTTTCTAGCTCTGAATTCTCGAGCACGTTCTGCAGCAGTTTTTGGCGGGTTCTTTAATAATAATAATATTTGGACAATTTGCAAATACATATATATTTTTTATTTTTATGTAACCCATAAAAATTAATTAATTTTTGTTATACTAAGTACTAACGTTACGACTTACGGGCTCTCTCTATTTCTCTTTCTTATAAATTAATAATGCTGTTCCTAAAAATTGTAAATTAAGTATAAAGTAGTATCTGTAATAGTAACCAAAAACTTTTAATAGCAGAAGATGACATTGTATCACCGGGAACATCGACTATGAAGAAATCACACGACGGGATTGTGTTTGAGAAATGTGTGAATCACGAAATGTGTGTGACAACATATGCGAAGGAAGGTTTCATATCTTTTGATACCAAATCTACCTGTAATGAATCAAATAGGTAGGTAACTTATACTAGTAGTGGCCACAGTAGGGTAATATGCAGTTTTCATATACTTTCAGCATTTTTTTCCTAGATAGTCTTTAAACTATGGTAAACTAAACTTAAAAGTTGTGGTAGCCTAGTTGTTAAAGGCCCGCCTCTCATGCATGAGAGATCAGGTTCGAAACCTGGCAAGCACCAATGTGATTGTTCCGAGTCATATATACTTTAAAAGAGTATTTAGATATCACTGACTGATGAAGGAAAACATCGTGAGGAAACATGGACTTAATCAAGTAATAAGTTTGTAATCACCAACCCGTTAAGCAAGCGTGGTGATTAATGCTCAAACCTTCTCCATGTGAGAAAGAGGCCTTGCTCAGCAGTGGGCTCTGATAGGATGATGATGATGATGATGATTAGTTCTTAAACTACGTCCCATTTCTTGACCCTAGGTCTCAAACTGACAATATCAATGTAACTCGGTCTTTCATTACCAATCGTAACAGTTATATAACATTCAAGCGCTAACAAGCTGTCGCTAACGCACAAGATATTAATATCTTAAGATGTGTCCGACGATTTCATAACACATAAGATTAAATATATTTTAATACATATTTCTTAAATCAGACGAAATAGCGACAAGTATCACATACATAGAATAATTAAATATAAATATTTATATTTTTTGTTAGTATTTTTTAAGCTACCGGCATTTACCCTTGTTTTATTCTACGTGAAATTCATGTCTCTCTATAACTCTCAATTATTTCGAACTTATATTAAATTTAACCAAAATTATAAAATAGAATGATTGCATAAAATTGTATCAATAAAATAATTTTCATAAAAAATTTACAGTGCCGGTCCATCAAAAGATAGTCAAGTTTTTGGGTGTGAAGTGGGGAGTATACAAAAAAGAGCAAACTCTGCCGACTCGACAAGTCATTGGAGGGATAAAGAGAAAGGGTTTATTGGATCAAGAAAAAAACCACCGAAAACCGCAGCCCAGCGCATGAGAGAGTACCGTCAGAGGAAAAAAATGTAAATATCTATATATTTATGTATGAAAATATAGATATCCCTACTAATATTATAAATGCGAAAGTAACTCTGTCTGTCTGTCTGTTACGCTTTCAAGCCTAAACCACTGAACTGATTTTAATGAAATTTGGTACAGATATAGAGTTGATGTTGAGAAAGAACATAGGATAGTTTTTATCCCAGACTTGAAAGGTTCTCTTGGAATCGCGATATAACCGAACTCCACGCGGGCGAAGCTTAGGGCTGAAAGCTAGTTATTGGTATATAGGATTTTCATCTGTATTTTTTTATTTAGAGCAAGGGAAAAACAGTTGAAGCGAAGCTATCGAGATTTAGATACTGCAGCCAGTACATCTTCACCGAGAAGTTAGTAATGGACCATCAAATTAATAGAATGATGATAATAATTATACAAATACTGTTGTTGGTGAAAAAGGACATGTAAATAAACAGACAAACCCTGGCTAAAGCTGGAAGGTTGCCAGGAAGAAGCTGTAGATAAACATTAAGAACAAAAGAAATGCTCATAAAAATGTCCAAAGAAATTATACATAATGTATATACATATTATATGTTTACATTTAGTGGAGCTAAATAAGTTCAAAATTTAGTAAGATAGAGAAAGCTTGTGCAGTGGAGGTGATCGTTTAACGTTAGATAGGTCCCTTAAACTTACACCTGGGTCACAAGTCCCAGTCACTGTTGAAGCTCCTCTCACTACAACGATGGACCCGACACACGCACCGTGAATACATGGAATGATGAGAGGTTTCGTCACTTTTGCTGTGGTCTAAACTTTAAGACTCTTATGTTTGAGCTCGACAAAACAAAATAAACGTTATAGAAAAAAAAGTTTTCTTTCATTTCATATGCCTTATTTTATTTCGATTCTGACTAAAGTTGAATTTACATGCATCTACAAATTTGATGAACACTTTATTTTGTGAAAGGAAATACATATAAAATCATAGCCAATCTTAGTACTAAGATCGAACTAAAAAGGTTTAGTGCTGCTATCTAGTTAAATTTACACACAATCAAGAAAAATTTTGCAAATCTCAAAGAGTTTAGGATTTCTTCAATAGGTATTATGAAAATGCTTTAACATAAAATGTTTTAAAGACTTATAAGGACAATCGTTAGTTTTAAGTTGTTTTTATTTGCTGGGCTTTACAGCCAATAGCCAATACTGACTGCCAATCCATTTATTGGCGTTTGAAATAATATCTTAAGTGTTAAACTGACTCACTTACAGATTACTCAATTATTTTAAAGAAGGGAAGTACCGAATAGTAAGACATCCGCGCATCTTAATGTGTCTCCCTACTAACAGTTTTTTGTATAAAATCCTGTATAAAACATTATTTTCAAAATAAACCATATTATAATATAATTCAATTTTTATTTTGATCGATCTTTTTTCTATAAAACACATATCTGCCTCCGACTTTACTTGCCTTTCTTCGATCTTAATATAAGGGTAGTTCAATAAAATATTATAAAAGAATATATTAATATTTATTATCATATTTCTATTAACTTAATTACAGTTTAAATTCCTGTTTACATTTCAAGTTCATTATTGATGATTAGAAATTGTTTTATATGTAACAAAATAGAAATTTATTGTCCAATTTGTCTACAAATGAATATTTCTACGCGAAATTATTCAGTCTGTTTTAACGTGAACACATCTATGCCTTTTCAAACCGCTGCTTTGTGTGAATTGTAAATTACAAACATCACAATTGAAAGGTTTTTCTCCCGTGTGTATCCTCATATGTAACTTAAGATTTCCGTTCAATGAGAACTGTTTGTTGCATATATTACAGTTGTAGGGCCTGTCGTCCGTGTGTACACGCATGTGTTTCGATAGATTACCAATTTGTTTATTGCATACTTTACACGTGTAAGGCTTTACGCCCGTGTGTACACGCATATGTCGCTTTAATTGGCCTGTCTCTCGAAACGAACGTTTGCATATATCACAGCTGAACGGCTTTTCGCCTGTATGTACACGCATATGGATCTTTAAATAGCCGTTATCAGAAAAGGATTTCTTGCAAACTATACATGAATAGGGCCTTTCTCCTGTATGTGTCCTTTCGTGGAGCTTAAAACTCGCTAATTGAGCGAATTGCCGATTGCAGAATGTACATAAATAAGGTTTTAAGCCAGTATGTACACGCATATGGACCTTTAACGTCGTGTAAGCCGTGAAATCTTTTTTGCAGACATCACAAGAATATGGTTTTTCTCCTGTATGTGTTCGTTGGTGTATAGACAGATAGCTTTTGCTCGAGAACTGTTTATTACAGACTTTGCATGTGTGAGGTTTGATTCCGGTGTGTATTAGGAAGATGTGTCGTTTCAAATGTGTTCTCTGAGGAAATCTTCTGCCGCAAACATCACATACATACGGCCTTTCGCCCGTGTGGGTCAACATATGAGATTTCAGGGTTTGATTGTGGCAGAAAGATTTATCACATAAAGTACAACTGAAATTCCTTTCACCGGTATGTGTTTTCAAGTGTTCTTTAAGCCCTTTCTTTCTTTGGAACTCTTTATCACAGTGGGTGCATTTAAACTTCTCTCCGAAGTGTAATGTCAGATGATTTTTCAGAGATCTAGCGTTTTCTAGCTTTTTTGGGCAAAATTTGCATGGAAACAGACCATTTTGGGAGTGCACGGAGCTTATGTGCCGTAATAATTCTTTGTTCATACCAAATTTACTATCACATAGCCTACATATAAATGATTTTTCACCGCTGTGACTTTTCATATGCACATCTAAGGAACCTCTATATGAAAACCTTTTATCACATAAACCACAACTGTACTTCTTTACTTTTGTATTTTGGGATTTATTTACATATTTATCTGTAAATAATAATAATAATAATATATATTAATATATATGGACAATTTAGAATCATAAATATTTGCATATGCTTAGTTATAACCACAAACAAGTTGTATATAAAAAAATTCTTAACAAATTAGACAAATACAACTAAGTAATATTTTTTCATATAAATAACATATCTAAATCTTAGTACTTGTTAAATAATTCTAATATTGTCTATGTATCCATGATTATGGGAATACAATAAAATAATAAAGTTAAGAATCTAACATATGTAAGTACATACACATAAAAACTGTTTTACATTTATTGTATATAACAAAGAATAACTGTTAGGAGATGTAAGATTTTCGCTAGTATTCATTTAAATGAAACTAATATTTTTAGGATATACTAAACAATTTTATTTTTGATAAAAAACTACATACTATCAAAACCTCCTTTCATAACTCATCTGCCCGTGATCACGGTTGTTGTTAAGTAGCCAAAACGTCAGGAGTATGTAGTTTATAATCTATATATATAAAAATGAATTGCTGTTCTTTAGTCTCACTAAAACTCGAGAACGGCTGAACGGATTTATCTTATCTATTAGTCTTGAAATGTTCGTGGAGGTTCAGGGAAGGTATAAAAACTGAAAAAAATTTATTAATTTCCAGGAAAAACCCTAAAAACAACCCTTTTTCTATTTTCCATACAAACGTTTTTTTATGACATTAGATTTGACCACTAAATAATATGTCAATCATTCTGTCGCACTTCAAAACACAGATTTATGGCTCACAGGTAAACTCCAAAAATATAAATAAAAAAACATAATAGATATTTCTTGATTATAGGGCGATACGAAGTTCGCCAGGTCTTCTAGTCAAAAATAAAATAGCGTAGTATATCCTAAAAGTATTAGTTTCATTTAAAATAATAAATATCAATTCTCAACTCACCGGTATCTTGGTAGTTCCAATCAATATCCGAGTTCTTGTAGGCCGATAGAGGTTTATCATCCAAATCATCATTAATTATTGTTTCAACTAAAAAAATACAAACATAAATCTTTGCAGCACATATTTGTATATATAACCACTTCTTACAAATTATATGCTTCATAAGTACATAATGTAATTATAAGTAATTCATCAACTTTAATTGATTTTAAATTATATATATTTATAAAAAAAACTCTTAAACAGACATAGTATAGTGGAGTGTATCATTTAATTAAGTATATGGAATTATCATCTTGTCATCAGCCTATCAGAGCCCACTCCTAAGCTGAGTCTTCTCACATGGAGAAGGTTTGAGCATTAATCACCACGCTTGCTCAAGACAATTATCATCTTACCGTTGGGAAAATCTGAGAGTTCATCTTTCACTGGCTTGAAATCGTCTGAAATAAGATAAATCTATCATGTTTCATTATTACCTAATGAATAATATATGGTTGCATGTATGTATGTAAATTTAATATTTTTTAAATAAATTTAATTGTTATACTTTTCACTTAGTTTATTTAAATCTTGAATACATATAAGAGAATTTCTTTTAATGAGACACTATATTTTATATAAACTTAACATGGAAGTCGTAACAAGAACTTAATTATATTGGAATTCATATATCACAAGTTGTTATAATATTTTATTTAGGTATGATACTTCTTTTAGAATATAACAGAGAATATTTTTGAGTAATCGTTGTATTATATGATTGTTTATACCTTCATCATTGTAGTGTTGTTTCAAGATTGTCTCACAAGCGATAACCTGCTGTTTAAATGATTCCCCATCCAGAAGTTTCTCGATGCAAATATTACAAATTGACATACCATCCATATTTGATATATATTTTAACTACAAATAAATTATGTTAATTAACAAAGATATATGGCCTAATAATAGGAATAAAGATAATTAATAATTCAATTATTGTTCTGCTGTTAATTACATTTACGCACGACCTAAATTATTTGAAATATTCATAAACAAATATTTGTTTCGAGCATTTGAGAACTATTTATAATTAAGTCTAAAATTTAAACTAAGAGATAATTATATGTATTAAGTTGTTGTATGATATATTTGTAATTTAAATAACATCAAAGTTAACGAAATGAAATTACTTCTATATTAAATGTTTTTTGCAGAGCGTTGAAGTAAGTATCTTGCCTGTTTTCACTTATATACGTCTCGTTTAGACTCTTAAATGTTCCTTGGGCATGGCAACAGCGGCAAATACCGCCTTCACTGAACGTTTCCATCACTTTTAATATTATTTTCAGTCATATTTACATTTTGCTATAGCGTAAACGATATCTGACAAGACGCAAACAAGATTTACAGACATTGATGTTATTGTAGAAATTTGAAATATATAATGACAGTTTCTTTACTGTAAAGACTATAAAAGGGTTTTATATTTTGTTTCCTTATCAACTAATTCCGTTTTAATTTTTTATATGATGTTATTTAATTTTTGTTAAATAATTGTGTATATTTGAATTAAGTAAATATATTGTTTTTATAATTAATGTATGCAAATGAATAAGGTTTTGTCAAAATGTGTCAAAGTCACGGTTGTAAACACAGATTGCAAATTAACATTAAAGTCGTGTCATCTGTCATGGCGGTAAAGTTATTTAGCGCGCAGCCGAAAATCGATCTATATTATTTTGTATTTCTTTTGTGAAAAAATGCCTGAAACAATAATAGAGAGTGTCCTATCTGGTAAATTACAACGTGATATATTGTTCAAATGGTTGAACGACGAGCTAGTTGAGGTTCATAACCTAGAATTTGATGTTATATGTAAAATATATTTTGCGATATTTATTAATTTTTGTTTATTTTCAGACGACGCCAGACGATTGTATATTGCTGTGTTCTAATAGAAATGAATTCGTTTCATATTTTCTCACTTTCCTCAGAGATCAGACTGAGAGGTGAGTAAATTATTTAGGTGTTGTAAACAAATAAATTTGGAAATTTATTGTACACCTATAATTTGTATCAAACTGATAACATTTAATACTTCCTTTACCGGTTTGATTATATTGAAATATTTTACTATTAATGATCATTCTATTTTAAATAAGACTCATTTTATATTTTCATAACAAAGGAAAAAATATAATTATTTATTTCAATAGCCTTCATAATAATAACAACTAATGATTGTGTATTTTGTCTCTTCAATAGTGATTAACTAATTTTAGACACATACCAAAAAGATAATTATATATATGTATATATACATTTTATCTATAAAAAATATTTACATATATTGTAGATTTGTAACAAACATACTTAAACTTGAAGTGCATTGGATATTATAAAACACAAGATAACATAATAAGATAAGATTTGATTATTTTATTATATTACAGTATGTGTATATATATATATATATATATAGAAACTTACTGTTTGTTTCCATTTCTGTTCATTTATGATTTGACAATAGATTCCTTTAAAATGGATTCCATATAAGAATAAAAAGGTACCAAGAGCTTGCGATGCTCTTAACATAAACAAAGCCGATGGCCTATGTGGTATCAAACTTATATTAAACCACTTAGAGTCTGTTAATTGTCCGATTTATAATACTTTCATCATTTGTCTTATATGGGCACAAAAGTTTATATGGGGTAATATATATGGGTTGAGACAGTTCTTAATGATTAGTTACTCTTTATTCCTCTTCTTGACTAGTGACTCAGTACCCACACTTACTAAAAAAGCATTGAATTATCAAAATAAACTGTTATTATAATTATAAAAATATAAATATCTTTTTGACAAATAATTATCTATTTTCCAGTATTCTACAGACAAACACGAACTCGTTACCAACACCATTCCAAGGTACTCCAGAGAAGAATAGGAAGCATCATCGTTCTATCAGTGATCCGACCTGCGACAATGACAAATCAAATGAAAGTACACAGAAATCAGAAAGAAAGACAGAAGAATCACCCAACAGAGATAAAAAGAGGAACAGAAGAGTTAAAACGAAACTCTTCTCAGACGACAGAAGCAAAGACGCTTTGAATTCATCAGACGAATTGAGAATTAGCACTGGAATTGATAGACTGATGCTATCGAGTACACCGATGAAGAATGGTTTACGTGACAGCCCTAATTCACCAGCCAGTCCAGTAACGCCACAGTCGAGGTCGTTTAGAGAATATGAAAGGTGTGACACCCCTAGGACGAGTAGGCATTCAAGATCACAAGACAAAAACGTCAGCCTAGCCGATTATTTAGTTAACATCCAACCGAAAAGCGCGAAGAAGAAACGATCCAAAAACACATCTAATGATGACAGCGATCCTAAATTGGATTTGGATATAAGTAACTCGGAAATGTTCCCAGAGATAGGTGCGAGGAAATCAAGCTCATTGAAATCTGAAAGACGTAGGATCAAACCAACGAACATAGATAAGAGCAAAAAGAGTTTTTCTCTAAACAGCTTTAATGCTGAGAATTTCCAGCAGCCATCACCATTGGCGCTAGAAGAAAACTTAGCTTTCAAACCTAAGTTACAGCCAAAAGAATCATCAAACTCATTTGACGCTGAAAGGAATATACTTAAGCAGGAAAGACAGAAATTAATGGAGAAATTCAATGTTTTGAACACAACTTCAACTCCAATAACGCCTTCGCAGATTAAAATACTGCGAAAAGAAGAACCCAGCGCTATATATACAGAAGCTGATATCGCTAAGCTGACATTCAAAGAAAAGATAGATATTATAGTCGACATATACGATATTCTATTCAAAAATAATCTAATAGTATGTATAAATACGGAAATATATTTCTTAATAACGATCCTTCTGTCGAAACAATGCGAAGATGATATCCGAACGTCAGAACGTCTACTAGAAACAGACTTGGCTAACAATATTTTAAAGCCTATACATAATAGCACGTATTTCGCTGTGAAATCACTGTGGAATCAGCGTATAATTCTAGAAGTTATTCTAGACAAGAATTCTCTGAAGATTTTAGGAGAGAATAAGAAAGTGCGAAGTTTTTCGCCAGATTTAGCCAAATTCCTGCTTAATTCGTACGGTCTGAAATGCGAAGCTGAAACGCAGGACAAATCAAAAAATGTTAGCCAGAACAGATGCTCAAACGGCATCATTTGTTACAATCACGAGACTGATAATGCTGAAAATTTTCCATCCATATTGAGCTTTCAGAATTTCAAAAAACAGAGGGACATGTTTTACGAAATATTAAGGTGAGAATTTTTGTGCAAAACAAAGAAATTTTATAATACAAACAAAATAAATAATAATGCATTAAAATATAAATAGATTTTTCTAGGTCTGGGTGTACCACAACCGGATTTACGCTCGCCTTTTTAAAATCATTTCAATAATCTAGCTATACAAAATAATGGCATAGCGCTTATACATCTAGATTTCTTTCCTTAATACTGTACATTAATCTATTTTCACATGTAATCTTTCAGATGGTATCAAGATACTCAAAGCACTGGCGTATCTAGATCTACGATGCGCGCTCGGACTCGCGCCTTGATATCTACCGGTCCTAGCGCCGCTAACCACGCGCATCTTGCTACACTCATCACACACATGTTGATAGACACGGTGCCTGACAACGAACAGGTAATGGATACATCTATCTAGAATCTAGATTCATCTAGATATGAATGCGCTTTCAATCTAGATTCATCTAGATTTAAATGCGCTTTCATTTTTAACAGCGATGATCGATAATGTACAGCTAATAGATTCGTCTAGATATAAATGCGCTTTCATATTTTATAACTATATATTTATTATTCGTGTCATTGCGTCTAGGTTGCTAGATAATTGTGCGCTTTGTTGTGTTTTAATCTAGCTCATGTGGTGTTAATTAATTATAATGAATGACTAACTAATGGATATATAACAGAATAAGTTAAATAATTTATAATAAATATTTGCCTTTTCCCTATACCCACCCCTCCATTTTCCTCAACAATTAAGGTTGGCAACGCTTCCGTAACATCTATTTAGCGAATGTCAATAGGCAACGGTCACTACTGCCCATCTAGTAGACCGTCTGCTCGTTTGCCACCTTTGACGTAAAAAAATATATGTTATAGTGAGCAAAATTTAATATATGAGAGTAAAATTATATAATTCGAGTTGGTAACACGTACCTACTTTATTAAATTAAAAATAATAGCATCTAGATTACAATGAATTTATTCCTTAAATACTAATTACGTAAGGTGCAAGCCGGAGGTTTTACGAAAACTCCGAAACTTACTTATATGTATATTATAATAAGAGTTACATATTAAAACTCATAACCTATACCTAAGACTACATGATTGCCCCGATGTTAGGATAGCAATACCATTCCATAGCTTGTGTGTATCAGGAATCTTCTGGTTCACACGCTTGGTGTTCGTTCCGCGGAGTCAGCGGCGTCAAGAGTTATATATTTTATCCATACAATGATGTTGCCCCGGCGATGTTTATTTAATTTCTATTATACATATATGTTTTGGTACAAGTTTCTGTCTATCTTTCATGCAGGAGTCGAAGTTAAGTAAACTACAGCGACGTTTGACATGTTCTTCATCATCAGACTCAAACGCACTGCCGAGGTTTACAGACAGAGAGATGTTTTACAAGTCAGTATTATATGGAGATTGTATAGATAAGAGTGTCATTACACACATACATACACATACACACGCACACAATATGTAGACATATTAATAGCTAATATTTATTAAGAACTAGCTTTCCGCCCGCAGCTTCGCCCGCGTGGAGTTCGGTAATATCGCGTTTCCAAGAGAACCTTTCAAAAGTCTGGAATAAAAACTATCCTATGTTCTTTCCCAAGGTCAACTCTATCTCTGTACCAAATTTGATTAAAATCAGTTCAGTGGTTTAGGCGTGAAAGCGTAACAGAAAGACGGACAGACAGAGTTACTTTCGCATTTATAATATTAGTAGGGACTAAACGATTGTAACATGCATCTAGATTCTAATTGATCACTAGATTGAAATTGCCATTAACAAATCTATACGTAGATTGTACAATCCTGTTATAAATAAATCGTAAAACATACATACATATTGTACGGGCTTCGCTCGACATAATTGTAAAATCATTTCTGTTCTATTATAAAATTTCAATAACTTATAATTTAGTTTAGTTTTAATCAGTATAAATTTATATAATATTATTAAGTGTATGGCATGTATACGGAAATTTGGTAAAAAATTAAGTACCTACCTATTTTTTTTACATAATTCGAATGAGAATCATGTACCGAGTATTCTCCTTAAATATTGATAGTAATTCACCAGTCACCCTGTATACAATATAACGAATTATTTCAGAGAATTCATAATGTATGCTGACAGCGAGAGTTTCCGAGTTCATCTTTACCACGCGTTGGCTGCTGAGATAATATCATTGGATTCTGTGGCTGTCGGTGGAGATGCTTGTGAGTTCATTGTTATATATATACTAGCTGCGCCCCGCGTTGTTACCCGCGCATTTCCGGGATGTAAAGTAGCCTATGTGTTATTCCTGGAAGTCAGCTCCCTGTATACAAAATTTTAGCAAAATCGGTTCAGCCGTTTGAGCGTGAAGAAGTAACAAACATAGACACACACTCACAAGCTTTCGCAATTATAATATTAGTAGGATATATATGAGGTTCCCAAACTTACTGGGTTTGAGCCACTTTGAGGACAAATTATATTTTACCCCCCCCCCCCATTTCGTCCCCTACAGAAAAACTACTATAATTTAAATGAAACTAATATTTCCGGCTTACTATGCTTTTTTTTATTATTTTAAATAATCGTGATCACGGGTAATCGAGTTAATGTAATATAACCGAAACGTTAGGAGCACTCGTACTAATATGAAAATATTAGTTTCATTTAAATTAATACTCGCGAAAGTCTTAGATCTCAATATCACTTATTCCAGCTAAATACATACTGATATTCCTTACAAGTTCCAAGTCCTTGCGTTTCCAAGAAAACCTTTCAAAGTCTGGGATAAAAACTATCCTATGTTCTTTCTCAAGGTCAACTCCATCTCTGTATTAAATTTAATTAAAATCAGTTCAGTGGTTTAGGCGTGAAAGCGTAACAGACAGACAGACAGAGTTACTTTCGCATTTATAATATTAGTAGTGATGTATATATAATCTTATGTTACAGCCAATGGTTCCGATGTATCCAAAGAGTTCCTACAGCTCTCCAAGAAGCTAGGTTTATTAGCAAAATTCCTAGGATATATAACATCATTGCCATATGCTCAAGTGCCTATAGATATTCTTCTTAAAACCGGGGCCTTTAACTTGAAAAATCAGAAAGAAGAGATATTTACAGCTCCTGACGAAAAAGTACTTGAAAATAGTATAGCTTTAAGAAATTATGTGAGTATATTATAATTTATAATAAGAATTAATACTAGCAGATTCTGTCTAAAGCTGTTAAATTGTCAGGAAGAAGAGATAATAAGAATTAATACTCAGAATATTAGAAAATATTACTGATATTATTATGTATATACAAAATCCTAAACGTATTGTTTACAAAAGGAGATCATTCAGGCTTCATACATTTTTGGGCCTTTTTTGAAAGTGCCGGCCAAAAAAAAAATGGTACTTATTTATAGAACTAACCATTTGGAACAATAGTTAATGTGGCGCAAAAGTTGTAGGATCCAAGATATAGAAGTTATACAAGTTTCAAGATTCATCATTTTGGTACATTTATTTTCTTCTGAAAGTGCCAAGACACATAAAATAATGATTGATATTGCTAGAGTTAAGCTTCTCAAGCAAATCATTATAGCCATAATCTGTTAGAGACCTGTCGTTTTTTTGTAATACTAGCGAACCCGACAGACGTTGTTCCCACAAGTACATATCTGAACGCATGCAACACATTTCTTGATGATTTTATTATTTGTCTAAACTAATATGTATATCGGGGTGCCATTTTTATATATTAAAAAAATGGGCCTAGAAGCACTTTTAACTGATTTTGTACCATTTTGGGTCGGATTTGATCATATGACGCGAGAGCAAGTACCACATAACCGCATGACTCCAGATTTCTCTGCGCCACTTGCTCTCGCGTCATATGATCAAATCCGACCCAAAATGGTACAAAATCAGTTAAAAGTGCTTCTAGGCCCATTTTTTTAATATATAAAAATGGCACCCCGATATACATATTAGTTTAGACAAATAATAAAATCATCAAGAAATGTGTTGCATGCGTTCAGATATGTACTTGTGGGAACAACGTCTGTCGGGTTCGCTAGTATTACAAAAAAACGACAGGTCTCTAACAGATTATGGCTATAATGATTTGCTTGAGAAGCTTAACTCTAGCAATATCAATCATTATTTTATGTGTCTTGGCACTTTCAGAAGAAAATAAATGTACCAAAATGATGAATCTTGAAACTTGTATAACTTCTATATCTTGGATCCTACAACTTTTGCGCCACATTAACTATTGTTCCAAATGGTTAGTTCTACAAATATGTACCATTTTTTTTTGTTGGCCGGCACTTTTAAAAAAGGCCCAAAAAGAATGATCTCCTTTATCTTGTTTCGTTGTCGTTAATTCCAGAGCCAGCCACCGATGGATATAAAAGGACTGTTGCTAAACGCCAATCAAAATGGGCGTCTGACTATCACTATACCATGGATAGTGCACTACTTATCAATGTTGGACTACACTACACTAAGATTGAAGTACTACCAAAATATACTGAAACTACTTTATAATATACACCAGAAGTTAAATATAACATCATTTAAGAAGAACACTGTTATATTTCTGAAGCTCAATTTAGGCTGGTTATTCGATTTGCCACATGTACCTCAAGAAGTTTTTTATACTAAGAGCGACCCAAATATTGGTGTTATCAGTGTAATTGATTGTGAATTTGATATAGAAGAAAATGTTTTACAAGAACTATGCCCATATTTGAAAGATCTCAGTATATATTTAAGTACGTCCCGACTTAATCAGGATTCGAACCAGTTTGGCAGCTTTAGACATATAACACCGGTTAGTCTCAGCTTAAATAATGAAGACAGAATCAAGAATAAGGAAAAGGAATTGCAGGTGAGATGTTTTTTGTGTGTGTTCAATAGGATCTGGGAATGCTTTAGATTCACAATTTTGTCCGCTGGACAATGTTTTTGTTAATTAATTTTTAGTTTATTAGTAGCTGTTGATACAAACGTTTTTTTTGACATAAGATTTGACAACTAACTAATATGTCAATCATTCTGTCGCACTTCAAAACACGGAGATTTATGGTTTTAATAGGTAAACTCCAAAAATATAAATAAAGAAACGTAACAGATATTTCTTGATTATAGGGCGATACCAAGTTCGCCGGGTCTTCTAGTATAATATGTGTGTGTTACTTGGCCATACAAAAATTACTAAAATAGTTCTACTATAATATAGTCGATACAGATACTAGATATAGATTTTGTTCAACAGAAAATTTCAATTTCATTTTATATAATAAGAATCCTATACAAAAACTAAATAGTTATTATGTATTGTATTTCAGATGCGTTTAGAAGAGGAGCTTATTAAAAGCCAGCCATCTTCGACGCGGAGAGTGTTAGAATTGGTCACAGAAAGAGTTACATCGGCAGCGGTTAAGGAACTAACGACTAATACATTAGTTGACGCGAGGAAGAAGGCAAGGACGGGCGCCGCGGCTATAGTAGCTGGCTGTAGAGACAGGGTAAACATATATGTACCAGCTGCCCCGGCAAACATTGATTTGACATGTAAATAGAAATAGGTAAAGAAACTTTTTAAGTTAAACGGTTTTACGTTAAACATACATTGCAATGTTTAATATAAATGTACTAAAACAAAAAAATAATAAAATAGATACAGTCGTGGGAATTATAAACATATGCACAGACTAGACTAAAACAAAAGCGTGGGGCGCGTCAATTGTTTACAAATTATCGACTTAATGTGCGATAAAAGAATCATTTAATTCGTCGTTAGGCAGTTGGCCCGCAGACGGTAAGGAAATTACTTACTATTTTCTTGCTCATGGAAATTCCAATAGTTATACACTCCATGTTAATAAAAGAGCTGTTTCAACTAGATTATCGTTGGACATTCACACTGCTGGCTGGCGAGGAATCGTTTCACTGCTCGTAGTTTGTCTTTAATCGAAAAAACATATGATAAAAGTACAACTCACCACTATGAAACCTTAAAACTCGCTTCATCGTTGTCGGTTGAACAACTACCTAATTATAGTGTAACATTACAAAACAAACATTTTAATCAACGATTGTAAACAATTGACGCGCCCCACGCTTTTATTTTAGTCTAGTCTGTGCATATGTTTATAATTCCCACGACTGTATCTATTTTATTATTTTTTTGTTTTAGTACATTTATCTTAAACATTGCAATGTATGTTTAACGTAAAACCGTTTAACTAAAAATGTTTTTTTACCTATTTTTATTTTCTAGTTTTTAGTTTTTATTTCGCATTCTTTTTTATTCATTTACGCTTCATTATTGAAAGGTTTCTATTCTACTTGTTGAGACCTTTCATTTGATACACATATTGATGGGATTAATAAAATATAAATTATCCGCCATTTTGTAGCGGCGGCCATCTTGAATTTATAATGATAATGAATAAACATGATTGTATTGTCACCAAAATCCAAAGTGTATACAAAATTTCAGATTAATCGGTTGACAGGAAGAGGGTGAAATTTGAATTACTAAATTTGACCCAAGAAAAAATAAATAATGAATAAAACAAACGGGGTGAGCTAAATAAAACCGTTTAAAAGGGGGTTGGTGATAAAAAAGTAACAAATTTAGACGTGAACAACCCTTATCACCTTATGGGTATGAAAAATAGATAGCCATTTCTCAGAGCTACTCAATATGCTCACAAAATATCATGAGAATCGGTCAAGTCTCAGAGGAGTACGGGAACGAACATTGTGACACGAGAATTTTATATATAAGATATATACATATATAATAACTCCTGGCAACCAATGTGATTTTTCCGAGACATATGTACTTTCTAAGAGTATTCAGACATCACTGATTAATGCATTCCCAAAGAGGGTTGATGTCAGGCAGGCGGCCAAATATAAACAATTAGCCAAAAACTATTCACAACATGTAAGGCAGACCCTGGCTAGGGCTGGAAAATTGCCAGGTAGAAGATATATAATAACTCCTTATTCCAGTCTGGTCTACTCGCCACCTTACACAGTCACTATTCCTCGCACCTAAGTTCCCTTCGAGCCAATGCACTATCTTCCTCCCGAGCGATGATCAAGGCGCGTGTGACGTCAGCGCTGGCTGCCCTGCTGCCGATGGCCCCGCCCCCTTTGAGGGCGGTAGTGGGCGGGGCTTGTTGCCAGCGAGTTGATAAATGGCTGACTCAGCATTGGACTAGTACTGGTCAGTTTTACGACATAGGCAAACATTGGCCACTATGAATCTGGACTTTATTATTAGGGGAACATACAGAATATTGTATGTTACAACTTAATATAATAATCATATTTTAACACTTATGCCAGTTAAGTTTCCACTACTGTTTTTACAGGGAAGTGGACTAATTTTGATGTAACCTAAAATACAACTATTAATTAATAACTAATGAGTATTTTTTTAGAAGTTTAGTAGTTTCATCCAAATATAAGATTACTACTATTCGGGTAGTTCATACTAAAACTAATATAATGCTTAGTGTATGTGTTTATCATACATTTATCATACTAGCTGCGCCCCGCGAATTTCCACGAATTTCAACGAATTTCCAGTATGTAAAGTAGCCTATGTGTTGTTCATGGATGTCAGCTTCCTGTATACAAAATTTTATCAAAATCGTTTCAGCCGTTTGAGCGTGAAGAAGTAACAAACATACAAACGCACTCACAAACTATCGCAATTATAATATCAGTAGGATGTACAGTGTAAACTCCATGTAACGTCACTCGATTTAACGACAAACTCTCTAAAGCGTCGAAATCATTTGACTTTGATTGGTTTAGCTTGTCTACCATACTATGATACACTCTACATAGAATCACACCCATCTGAATAACGACAACAATTAAGTACTAACGCTAGTCTGAAATAAACTTTGTCTTTTTCTAATTCTGATTTTTCTTCTTTCTTTTTAACGGCAACTCTCTATAACGCCATAAAACGCAGTACCTTCAGTGTTGTTATATAGAGTTTACACTGTATATATAATACATATATTGTGTATATATTTCAGATATTCTATGTAAGGACATCAAGGCCGAAATGGAGACGTTATGCAGTGTTGGCCCGGGAGTATCGACGGCCGGGGAGGTCGTTGACCTCGTGACCTGCAATCTAGACGAAATGATGAGTCCGGCACAGGCAATACTCGACCTTAAGGTTAGAGGAATAGAGTTTGAATTAGAACACCTCTCTCTCTCTCTAAAGTTCTTTTATATATCTCTGTCTCTGTTCGAATACTACTACTATACTATTTGCGCTGTAGCTTGGTGCGGGTGACATTTGCCTATATGACGTTGATATCTGTCAGTATCATATGACTAGTGATGTTGCGTAATTCATTTTTATCATTAACGATACTCGCAGTATAAATAATATAGTACTTATATAAAATAATTAAAATCGGGTATGAGTAATCTGATATGAGTTTAGACTAATAAAATCATTTTTATATAAGATCTGTTGTTTCATTAATATAATTATAGACTTTTTACAATAATAATTGAACTACAGCCAATATATGTATATTTTTTATTATAAAAAAAACATCGACCATCCACTGTAGCAGTACATCCCATCACTAAATACGTTTATGGCATTACGTTAAACGCATAATACTTTGCTTAATTTTTCTTTCCATTAGATTATATTTGTACACTAGAACATTCTGGTTTGGTTTAATTTAAACTACTTCAGTAATTAATTATTTAATTTGTTTCGAATGTGGTACAGCTGAAATACTAAGTCATAATTTGTAAATCGCGGCAACTTTCAAGAGTGAAACGAAACGATACTGAAACTGTCACCCGCACCATGCTACAGCGCAAATAGTATAACTCTGTTTATCTGTAGAAGTCATTGTGGCCTAGTGGTTAAAGGCCCGCCTCTCATGCATGAAGGCGCAGGTTCGATTCTGGCAAGTACCAATGTGATTGTTCCGAGTCATATGTACTTTAAGAGTATTTAGACATCACTGACTGATGCTTCAACAAAACAAAACATCTTAAGTATACTTGGCTTATAATATCAATATAAGTTTGAAATCGCCAACCCGTCTTGAGCACGCGTGGTGATTTATGCTCTAACCTTCTCCATGTGAGAAAAGGCAGCTCAGCAGTGGGCTCTGATAGACTTCTGATATATGTATACTAGAAGACCCGGCGAACTTCGTATCGCTCTATAATCAATAAATATCTGTTACGTTTTTTAATTATATTTTTGGAGTTTACCTATTAAAGCCATAAATTTCCGTGTTTTGAAGTGCGACAAAATGATTTACATACTAGTTGTCAAATCTAATGTCCAAAAAAAAAAACGTTTGTATCAACAACTACTAATAAATTAAAAATTAATTAAAAAAACATTGTCCGGCGGACAGAATTGTGAATTTAAACCATTGCCAGATCCCCTTGAACACACACAAAAAATTTCATTAAAATCGGTTCATAGACAGAAGTTCAGTGACATACACACTCACAGAAGAATTATAAATATAAAGATATATATTATACCCACAGGAACAAATCTGCGTGACTCTAGAGGGCGGAGTCCCTTGTCTACAAGTGCTTCGCTCCTGTAAACTAGCCTGCGACTCCAGTAATGTATTCTGTCGCGCGCCAACGCTTATTACCATACTACATCTATCTGTGGACTTCTGTGTTGTTTACGGTAAGATACTTTATATAGATTAGATAGATAGATAGGAGTCAGTGGTGGCCTAGTGGTTAAAAAGCCCACCTCTCATGCTCGAGGGCGCGGGTTCGATCCTTGCAAGTACCAATGTGATTTCTCCGAGTCATATGTACTTTATAAGAGTATTACATCACTGGTTAATGCATTCCCAAAGAGGGTTCATGTCAGGCAGGCGGCCGGTCGTAAAAACAATTAGCCAAATTCACAACAGACAGACAGATCCTGGCTATAGCTGGTAAATTGCCAGGTAGAAGAAGAGATAGATAGGGGTCCCTTAAACCTACAACTGGGTCGCAAGTCCCAGTCACTGTTGAAGCTCCTCTCACTACAACGATGGACCCGACACACGCATATGAATATATTGAATGATGAGAGGTTTTCTTTTCTAGAGGCTAGATATAAAATACTACATAGATACAGGCAATACGTGTAGATATGTACATTTTTTTATTATAAAAATATTTAATTCATTAAAATAATTTACACTTACATAATTAAAAATGATTGACCTCAGTTCTATACTCATGAACACTTACATAAGTTTCACCATCGATTTTTTTTTAATTGTTGTCATTAAAATACGGAAATGTAATCTTTATATATAATTTATATTTTTATATTCCAGTGAGCAGACACGGGTCGAAGGTTTTGAATATTCTGCCAGAGTTTAAAGCTCTATGGGAACAGTGCTGCCCTCACAGGAAAAGAGTGGAACGAGAAGAAGACGAAACCAGAGAAAGATGTTAGTATATACATACACACATACATACATACATAATACATATATATACAGTGGACACCCGGTAGTCAGACAAACATTTTGTAGGGCACTGTCGAACTATCGAATTAATCGGATTATAGAGTACTGCCTAACACCCCCTATAGTCTGGACTTTTTTACAAAAGAGTACCTTGTAATTTTACAAATAACAGATTCAATGATAAGATTATTTACATATATGTATTTATAAGTACTCTGAAGTACAAATTCAAATTCCATCTAAGCATTCAGAATCAAAACAATACCCTACGCGTAAAGCACAATAGTGATGGTGCGTGCAAGTTGTAATTTATTCAATCATGCATTAGCAAATACAAAATATGTATTCAATAATAAATAATAGATCATGTCGGATTACAGGGGGTCCACTGTATATTTATTTATTTTATAGGATCACCAACAGAAATGACAATAGTATTACAAATATTATATAGTTAACAATTGATCACACTTTATAATCGTATTTCTTTTTATAGGTAATCACAGCATGCACTAAATATATTAAACATTAGTAATTATCACAAGATTGTTTTCTTTGGATCAATCATATAATTTTAAAAAAATTGAAGTATTTAACAGTTTTATAATAATATCAATAGATTTGTATTTAAATGAACATATTAAATGCACTATATGCTTTATATACATACAGACACTTGTAACATACTATATATGTACTAGCCTATCTCATAGTGATAATAACGCCTTGAATTTTACAGATCCACAAAATATTAGGGTCTTGTGTAAAAGCCGTGTTATTCATAACATAATTCAGATAGTATAAGTTAAAATAGTTAAAGATATAGGTAGGCTAAGAAATAGTTTATTCTCAAAGTTAGCAGTATAGTAAATATGTTTGGGAATCTCTGATCTATAAGTATGCCAATAGAATTTCCAGGTTTTTCACATATAATAAACACTGTAATGAAACAAAATATTTATTAATTAATTAACATTTTATTAACCGTTGTTTAAAATATGAAACTATATTTCCAGCGCAAGATATAACAAAGTATGAAGATTGTTACTTCGATAGAATTTTATGTCCGAGGAACATTATGTTGTTGAGTGAAACAAAATCCAGTGACGTGTGGCCGGCCATGGCTGAAATATTAGTGTATTTATTGAAGCATAACTTCTTAACCGAAGACAGCCTCACCGAACAATGCTTAGCTGTTTATAAACAGGATTGGCCACAGGTGAGCGATTAAAATTAATAAAAGTATATTAAATTCATATATATAATAAGTAGCGAGACTTTTTCTTCCTGGCAATTTCAAAGATTTAGCCAGGTTCTGCCTAGCGAGGGTCTAAATAACGACACTGAATGAGAGAAAGTAATATAATAAAATAACCTTTTTTTTTTGTTGTCCTTGATGACAAATAATATGTCTATAATATGTAGTTTAAAATAATGAGACCTAAGAGTTTCGAATCCGAAATCCGAAAATATTAGTTTCATTTAAGTGTAGTTTAAAACTTTTTATCACATGAATATCATTTTTATTTAATTAATCCCTACTAATATTATAAATGCGAAAGTAACTCTGTCTGTCTGTCTGTTACGCTTTCATGCCTAAATCACTCAACAGATTTTAATGAAATTTGGTACAGACATAGAGTTGACCTTGAGAAATGACATAGGATAGCTTTTATCCCAGACTTTTGAAAGGTTATCTTGGAAACGCGATATAACAGAACTCCACGCGGGCGAAGCTGCGGGCGGAAAGCTAGTTATATATAAATTCAATTATTCTATGTTACATACATTATCCTATAATCTGTTATTATATTTTCAATATAATATACAGTTGATAATTTTTTTTAATTTATTCCAAAATGCATACATATGTACAATCTTGTGTATTTCCTTGCACCTAACTACATCTATAATAATATTTTTTCCAGAACATTCTTGAGAATTTATCAACATGTATGAGAACGGTGTCTTCAAAATGGTCTTCAACGGGCAAATTTACTTTATTCCTTGATTTCTTAGCAGATTTTTGTAATGATATGGATTATGACTTAATAGAATAAATATGTATTTTTGATTTACATTTATTATTGATTATTTATTATTAAAAGTCATTTATTTCTCACATATATATATATATATAGTATATTTTTTTTGTCTGTCTGTAGTATAGTAAATGTATGTCAGTTTGTTTCTGTACATCTACAACTTAAAGTACAATTAAAAAATATTCTGCACATAAATATATATAAATAATGTTTACTATATGTGAATTTTTAATTACATTTTAATATTTGATTCCAAATGGGACAATATTTTTCAGTATTAGGGTAGTTTGATGGGGATAAAATTAGATTATTGGATATTGGCTCCTATATTTAAGAGACGATTAAAGATTTTACCTGAAGATTCCTTTTGTTAATCAATTTATGTAATACTAAAAATAACTAAGTAGAAATTTTATTAGTGACTATGACTATTAAGTAGCGAGACTCTTCTTCCCTTCTACCTGGCAATTTCCAGGGTCTGCCTTACATGTTGTGAATAGTTTTGGCTAATTGTTTTTACGACCGGCCGCCTGCCTGTCATCAACCCTCTTTGGGAATGCATTAATCAGTGATGTCTTAATACTCTTATAAAGTACATATGACTCGGAAAAATCACTTGCCAGGATCGAACCCGCGCCCTCATGCATGAGAGGCGGGCCTTTTAACCACTAGACACCACTGACTTTTTTTATTAGTGACTATGGCCGTTTTGTTATAATTTCTTTTAAAAAAACTTAATTCAATCAATTTTCATAGTAAATTATAATTTCAATAAATATAATGTTTTTTTTTTAAATCATAGTTTTAGGAGCCGCTGAGTGTGTTATGAGAATTTTTGTAGGAATTTTTGATGTTATAGAAATTAATTGGTTTATTGACAATATGACTCAAACAACACCAATGTTATGTCTTAGAAGATTTTTGGAAGATTTTGAAAATAACATAATTATATATTATGTAAAAAAGAAATTTTATTAGACACTAAAAACTTATTGTAAGATAATCTTTAAGATCGTTCGGTGGAAATAAATAAATAAATTTATTAATTGATTTTATGTTAACTAACAGAGGCCGTTCCTGTTAATCCGCAATAATATTGCATCCATACAAAAAAATATATTACCAATCTAAAACAAAATGTTTTTTATCTTTATTAATTCCGCGCTACTAATTTGATTTTGTACAGGTGTTTCGAATTTATTGTGAATTAATTCAGATTATTTTATGCTTATTTTTCTATGCTGATATATTTATTTTAATTTATTAGTGATATATATTAAAGTGTTCAAGGGAACGCCCTCTGTTTAATTAATTATTAAATTAGCCGCTGGGTGCACTAAATTAAATGTGACTATAGTCTTCTTCTTCTACAAGAAGAAGAATTATTAAAATGTTTTTATCATCTCTTTTTTGTATATTAAGATATTTTGGTGCGAAATTTTACTTGATTGTTATTTAAATATGTAAATGGTATGTTATTTACCCAAATAACACGATTTTTAATATAATTCTTTTAAATTTTATCATCCTTGAGAGGCGTCCGTTTGGTTAAAATTTGAGAACTGATTTAATTATAGATACGACGGCAAAGATCTGAATTTTAGGTCTGCCCCATTACGCTTATTGTACTGTTTATTTGTTAATAAATATGTATATAAAATGTTGTTTTATTTAACCCCTATCAAAATTATACTAGCACTAGCTGACCCGCTGATTTCGTAACGCCCTATAATCAAGAAATATCTTTTAAACTTCACAAATTATCCTATAGAACCTAATGTGAAAAGTACACTAAGAAATAGTAAATGAATTATGTAGTGTTAGTAATAATAATTTTTAAATGATTTAAATATTTGTCTACTTCACAATTCTAAGCTTCACCTTATTTATATTCTAATATTTATTGGGAATTCTTATAACAGTCAACTAGGGCCATCTACATATTTGTTCTTCAACCTGGCAATTTACCATCTTTAGCCAGGGTCTGCCTTAAATGTGTGAATAATAGTTTTGGCTAATTGTTTTTACGACCGGCCGCCTGCCTGACATCAACCCTCTTTTTGAGAATGCATTAATCAGTGATGTCTAAATACTCTTAGAAAGTACATATGACTCGGAAAAATCGCTTTGGTACTTGCCAGGATCAAACCCGCGCCCTCGTGAATGAGAGGCGGGCCTTTTAACCACTAGGACACCACTGACTGACTGTTATACCTAATAGTGTAAATGAATGTTGATAATATTCCTGTACAGTAATTTAAATGCCCAAATACTTAACAATTGGTTTTATAATTTATAAGTAGAGCCTTAGCATGTTGTACACAATTTTAAGTGTTTTATTTAAGGAACTAGCGCCTAATATTATAACCCGACCTCATCTAAATGTTACTTTTGAATATTATATTTTTTTTCTTTCAACGAACCTTCTAATAATATCATATACAATAAAAAAATAAAAGTGAAATCGGTCCAGCCAGCGTTTGATGTAGTGAACAAGGCAAAAAGGGATTCATTTATATATATAGATACATTGATGTATTCAAATGTATCAAAGATTTCGTTTATTAATAATGTCTTGTACTTTATCAATAATATTTACACGTTGGAACACAAAAAAAATTAAAGGTGTAACCTGGAAAAGGCTTCTAAGAAACTATTAGCACATTCGCCATATTAAATTACAGTTTTAAAATCTGTGCGTTCTTAAATGATCTTATGAGATTACAGCAGCGTTGCCGTGTTATATTTTTGTACCCAAATAGTTGTCAAAAAACACCACAGCTTAGCTTTCTTACATCAATGTAGTATTTTAAGTAAAGACGCAATAATATAAAAGAAAAATATTGTAATTGCGAGTTGGATGCAATTACAAAAAGTCTATTGGTTGGATAATTAAATATTATTGTGTTATTCACAGTTAATATAATATTATACTAATTAAATTTATATACACTAAATCATAATACATAACACTTTAACGTAATAAGTCTTAATGTAAGGTAACATTTTACGTGGTGAGAACATATGATTCTCATCAAGAAATGTTTATTGGTACCCTAATAAATATACAATACTAATTTATATTTAAAAGCCTCTTTCTAAATAGACAAGTCATCTTTGTAAAGATAATTAAGGACTGTAGTTAAATAAATGTTATAAATATATGTTATTTCTATAAATATAAATTTAGAATTGACGTACAGTTTATAATGTTCTAATATATAGGTATATATTTCAAAATTAAACTCACAAAACTGGTTTTTCGTAATTTATATACAATTGACTTATAAAATCATGATTTAAAAAATATTATTTTGTTTATTTTTTATTACTACTCAAATATATTTAAAAAGAGCTATTATTAAATCTTTTTCTAGTTATGTCGCGTTTTTCACCTAGCAAGAACTTAATAAAACTATTTTTGTATAGGGCATTGGATAATTTATATTTTGTTGTTATAGGCTCAAAAGGAATCGTATCCAGAGCCGTAAAAACATTTACAAAAAAAATATTGTTATGAGTCCTTGTAATTTTACATTATCTGATATTAATACAAAAATGGGTTTCGAAACTTCTATTGAGTGTATTCTGTGTTGCGTTAACTGTACATATGAAGGGGCTCTAAAATTGCTATCACAAGATATAGTATAGGTCTATACCTATACTACACGACTATTCGTGCATTATTTATCCTATCATGTGGTTGCTAGGAATTACGTCGAAATTCTTCTATGTAATATGTAATCAAATAGTCACTGCATATGGAGAATTGTTTTCGAAATCAATCAGTAGCTTCTAATCTGCACATATAATCAGGGGAAAATATAATTTAGAAATAAAGAAATTGCTCATTTAGACAATAATTTTATGGGATGACGTCATATTTTTCCTGGCAATTCCCCAGCTTTAGCCAGGGTCTGCCTTACATGTTGTGAATAGTTTTGGCTAATTGTTTTTACGACCGGCCGCCTGCCTGATATCAACCTGCTTTGGGAATTATGTCATCATTAAAAAGTAATGGAAATTCGCAAAGCTTTATAAATAACATCATGAAAAACCAGTAGCGCTGCATACATCCCGCCTAGCACTCCCACATTAAAACTCTAAATTTCGTTATTTAGATTCAGAATCGTCATAAGAGGTAGCATTTCCTTGCAAAGGGAATCTATGTCTATGCCAAAATTTATGCGAATCAGTTCAGGGGCTAGGAGTAAAAACGTAGCAGACAGACATACAGACAGACATTTGGCGATAGTGCCTTTTATGGTCTATTCGGCGCTCGCACTAGTACATTCATCCTAGATGAAAAATGACAAAGGCGTAAGGTTTTGGTTTGAGAATTGCATTCAGATATTTTTAAAAAGTTTTTAAAAGAAAAAATGCATAAGACCCTCATATTTTGAAGAAACCTATCCCAACACACAATTTATGTATATGCAAACGATAAAGGATGACGATAAAACGAATATTGTGTAGCATTATTAAGCCTTGATGCATTTTTAACAAGTTCAAGAACTTAATTTAAAAAATGTATTTTTATTCACAATTTAATAGGTTTAAATTTAACAGTACACGAAAATACTTTGTAAGTCAAAGAATGTAAATACTTGTATACAGATTTGAATATTACGTATAAAAACTAGCCGCATCATTTAATACTTTTACAAATACATTCCAAGAACAGAACCCATCTGAGTTTACAGGACAATCTTTTATGAATAGCTGAACCCGTCGCGGTGGATTATTAGTTGATAGTTTTGATCCATCTCTTACCTGATTTACCGTTAAATATACATAATCCAATTTAAACAAATCTCTATCCTGTGTAGCGTCATACCATCTCTGGAACACTAACTTCCCACCTATTGGTATGATTTCATATTGATCTGGCAATAGAAAATCCTTAACATCCAGTGCTGCCAAAACAGAAAGCAAATTTGCATCATGGCCATGTAGTAAAGTGAATTTTTTTGGTATATATCTAATTACCACAGACAATATATATTCAAGAAGAGGTTTCGCGACTTGTCTTCCCAGTAATTTACTGTTGAAACAAATATTTAGATATTCGTTTATAATGCGTGTCAATATCTTCCATTGTTCGTCGTCTTTAATTCTTCCCCAAGCTACATTTTCCATTGCATGACCATCATAGTAACTCATAAGAAATGAATCAACTATTACGAGTGCCCACGACAAATGATCAATTACACGTGGTATATGTCCTACATTATAACAAATTCTATTATCCTCATCACAAAATCGACACTGGTTCTCGTTTCGACACATTATAGAATTTTCCAAATCTAATATATCTTCTAGAGCCAAATAAGACTCACTGAGATTCAGATTTCTCAATTTATATTCCATTTCTCTCAAAATAGGTACTTTGACTACTTCAGAATCATTGCGAATAATAGGATTAAAAATCGGATCCATTTCATCGGAATTCATACTGACAACACTTATATTACACTTGTCGAAAGCTCCACGAACAAAAGCCTTCGCGGATGAACGACACCTCTGCTTAGTGTTTGCATAAATAAGTACAGAGTTTTCTTCGGGACAAGCGTCCACAAAAAGCTTTTCCATAACCAGCCAGTTATAAATATATTCACCCATATATTCTTCCAATAACGCACCTTTTTCAGTCAAATAAAGATCACTTATATTCCATTTCGGCCATGGATGATCAGAAAAGTTTTCTAAATTTTTCGTAGAAGGACTTCTAACATTATGCCTGCTCAATATCAACACTTGTTTCAATTCATAACAAGTCACAACAACAAGCCAATTCAAACAAAAGACTTTGACAATCATTTTATCCTTCTGGTTTATAAATGATTGCTTCAGTGTCAGCAATACGATGAAGTATAACCAATTGAAGTTTCCGTTCGCGAATTCTTCTTTATTATAAGTATGTCAATAAAAATATACAAGGTGGTAACGATTATTATTTTATTTATCTACAGAAATGACATTGCGAGCCTCCCTACAAAATATTATCAAAATGTACCTAAGTACCTACCTTTATAATTTTTTTCCGTTATATTTTATGTTATACATAATTATGAAACTTATTTAAGATTTATTACTATGAACATTTGTCTCCCACCAAACATCGTTAATATACTGATAAACTTATCAAGCATAAATAACTTTAACTGTGAATAGTTTTAACATAATATTACATACATGAATGGTTTTCCGTTTGATTTTATAATATTTTCGTTCGTTATGTGTGTAGTGTTTACTGCTTCAATTACTTATTTACAGAATATATTTTATTACAAAGGCATTTAAATCTATGATGCAGTATGAATATTTTTTTAAATTAGTTTGTGACTATTAAATATTTAATAATAAGGCAAATTTACTACCAGTTAAATCACGTTATTTATTTCGAGTAATGTTTTCCAAGCGTTTGTTGGACAAATCTCATTGCTATTGGCAAGGGATCATAAAGGTGCTTGAAAAAAGGTGCTTGAAACTGTATTGAAATATTACAGACCCAGTTTTTTAAGATTAAAACTACATTTAAATTTATCACAAAGGAAGTTTATTCCACTAAGATAAAACTTTTCAAAACCGTGTCCTTATAAACTTATTATCTCTATCATTCAAATGAAATTTACAAAATGTTGATGCAAAACAGTTATTTCTCCGCTGTACCTTTAGAGTTTATACATGCTTGAAGACGAGTGCGAGCGTCTTCTCCTCTAAATCAAATGGTAGTGACCCACCAAGAAAGTTTGCTGCCTTCCCGGAGATCGTACAATAACCAGGGACCGTGACCCTGACGGTCAAGAAAACCATGACTGATGAATTCAGAACCCACACAAGGGCGCTGTAAAGAACATGAACTTAGGAAATTCATTGTTAGGAATTCCCGTAATCCTACACCTGGGTCGCAAATCCCAGTCACTGTTGAAGCTCCTCTCACTACAACGATGGACCCGACACACGCATATGAATACATTGAATGCTAATACGTTTCGTTTCAAAACATATATACATCAAAAATATTTATTCTAATATACTTATTCTTTAGTTTATTTGTGTTTCCTTGTAGTTTTCGCAAAGTCAAGTGTGCTTAATAAACTCAGCTGCGATAGTGAATATTCGTGAATGAACGAGGTCACCAAAATGTACTAATAACATTGTAGCTTGTAAGTAAAGTAGAGTAGATTAAGAATTCCGTAATCAAAATTACGTCACATGTGTCGTAAAACGCAGAGGCAGCTGTTAATTTCACATTTGCACACTTTCTTCGGAATTAATCATTATGCATCTCCTTCCTGGCAATTTCCCAGCTTTAGCCAGGGTCTGCCTTACATGTTATAAATAGTTTTGGCTAATTGTTTTTACGACCGGCCGCCTGCTTGACAACAAACCTTTGGGAATGCATTAATCAATGATGTCTAAATACTCTTAGAAAGTACGTATGACTTGGAATAATCACATTGGTACTTGCCAGGATTGAATCCGCGCCCCCATGCATGAGAGGTGGGCCTTTTAACCACCAGGCCACCACAATTACAATTAATCATTATGCATACAAAGACAACATTTAAAAGTAGTGAGTAAAGCACGCCAATAAACAAAAGTTTTTCTACATATTATTTGGATCAAAACAAAAAAGTTATCAGAAATTTCAGAAGTTTGATTCATGTTAATGTAGATCAGAATAATTAATCACAATTTATAATAGTATATGTGAAAAACATTAAATATCTTCCATAGCATAATTCTCTAAAAATCACTAAAATAATGTACTTATACATTTTATTTGTATTTCATTTAAAATATCAAGATGGAAATTATCCTTTCGATAAGCATATTACTATGAAGTATTTTTTTTAATAATTATTAATTAGCCTAAATAAGTATAGCCTATACTCAGTGGTATATAAGTAGGTACATATACATATATATATATCTGACCGGGCGAACTCTATTCGGTCCTAGAGGCCATAAATAATCAGATATTGGAATCTATTACTTTTTTCTGTTTCTATCGAACAGAATGAAATATCCTATGTTCATCTCCTGGTTCTAATCTATTTCCCCCTCAATTTTCAACCATATCCTTACAGCCTTTCTTAAGTTATAGGTACTGTAAATAACACAACTTTCTTTTAATATAAGAAAATAGGTTTTCGCTTCCATATATGTAAGTATGGCGATGAACACAGATAATAAAACACAAAAAGAACGTATACAGTTTTATTTATTTTTATTATCTATCTAATAAAATTATAATAATATTTTTTACAAAACATTTTTCAAAAACATTGAATGTAACTAAAAATATGTCCTAAATTGATAAAATTCTTTACAATAATTCTGAATTATGACTTAAAATTGTGTATATTTTTGGAGACCCGCAAAAATATGAGTAGATAAGTAAAATTAAATAAAAAAATTAATTCTTAATTAATAATGTACATACAATACAACATACATATTAAATAAAATTATAATTTTCGATACCTTCTTTCTTTTCACTTCAACTTGATATAAAACAGCAATAATTCCAAGCGAATTTTCACCCAGAAATAATCGAAAATCCAACACGGAACCATAAACCACACAATCCTCTACAACTTAATTACTTTTCATAGACAATGACTTTTATTTTTTAAAATACATATCAATTAACTAAACCGGAGTAATAAAGTCAAAAATATGGAAAAATGACAAGAACATCACAACCATGACATTATTGACATCAAACGTCACATAACAAGTGAAAAACAAGAAGATTTTAAACTACATGTTGAGTATATAAATACTATATAACAAAAAAACGAATTATGTAGTAATATATGAAGTAGGCGATTAGGAAGTATACAACTACTTGAAGAGCTTTATCCAACCAGTACAATCTGAAAAAAAGAACAAAATATATAGGTATATAAATAGCAATTCATTTATAGAATGTTTGTTTTGGAAATAATCATTTTTAGAAAATAACATTTATGAAAAAAAGATAACAAAAGGCGTTTGAAATATGACTCTTCCTGACATCTATTGGTGAATAGTAATACTACTTTTTACTAATTACTTTAATGACACAACAGCAGATGGCGTTGTTGAGTAACAGAAAGTCAATGAGTGTTTGAGTTTAGATTAAGAAATTAATTGTTGATTTATATTGTTTTGTCTTCTTATCGTATTCACTTACAAATGCCTAAACGAAATAAAAAAACACAAAATATATACTAATAATTCCTAAATACCGAGTTGTGCTTGGTAGCCAGATATTTTGACTAACATTGAGTGAAGCGAGACATTTACACTTAGCACTTTTTGGTTAAAATTTAAGGTTAAAATTTATCTATATGAAAGTAAACTCACTGTTTTTGAAGTTTTCTAGCCTGCGGTAGTGTGCTAGGATCTTCTTTACAACAGAATTCCCTCGCTCCTTTTATGTAGTTCCGAATATAAGAGCTCCAGTTTATACTCTGATAAAATATAAACACATAAAATTAAACTTAACCATACATTTTTAATTTTATTAAATATATATATATATATAAGAATCTAATGATTTGGCGAGTATTCATTTATATGAAACTAATATTTTGTCGATTATTCTACGCGAATTTTATTATTTAAAAACTACATGCTCACGACGTTTCGGTTACATGTCGTCTGTCCGTGATCACGGTTGGTAAAAGTAATCAAAACGTCGGGAGTATGTAGATTAAAATAAAGCAACTGGGAAGTGACTTTCTAGCCACAATAAGTTACATTCTTGTTAATTACAATTAATTATATATATGTATGTAATAATTTTAATTCACAATAAAATGTACGTTTGTATAAATAAAAAATTTATAATTCGATCTCCACTAGCTAGTATTCCGATGAAATTTTGAGCATATATACATATATTTTTTTGTTACCTGCAAATTAGTGTAGAAAACTTCATTATCATTCTTCGATATCCGTTTTGACAACGACCTATAGTAATCGTTGTCGAAAAACCACTCCTTAGTAGTATAATATTGGAGGACATTCAATCCATAGCTGACACGTTTCTGTATTTTCACCATACTATAAATATTAATAATATACATTAATTTCTATCCCTACTAATATTATAAATGCGAAAGTAACTCTGTCTGTCAGTCTGTTACGCTTTCACGATTAAACCACTGAACCGATTTTAATGAAATTTGGTACAGAGATAGAGTTGACCTTGAGAAAGAACATAGGATAGTTTTTATCCCAGACTTTTGAAAGGTTCTCTTGGAAACGCGATATAACCGAACTCCACGCGAAGCTGCGGGCGGAAAGCTAGTATAATAATATGTACAATCATACAAGAAATATATATACTTACAATGTCTTCTTTCCCATCAGAAACATGAGTAGGTCGATGAAGTACGCTGGCAAGAGGTGAGTGAAAAATAATGCTAATAAATGCTGGAACTTGGAACTTTTAGCTGATCCGCCTGGGTACCACAGACATATGGAGAAAGGAAACTCCTGGACGTGGACACGACCTGGTTATAATATATGTATGTATAATATAGGTTAATAAAATTTTACGAGTAGAATTTTTTGCGAATAGAATGATGTTGTCAAAAAAGATTTGGTAAAAAGTAAAAGGACAAGAAATATTTGATTTTTATGCGGTGATATTATTTATATGTACAGAATATATAGTTTATAACGCATATAGAAAAGTATGTAAGATAGTATATTTGAAATATTATTATATATATTGCATAAAGATATATAAAGTAAAATAGACTTTAAAATATAATAACGAAAGAATACTAAGGATTATATAATTGAAGCTTCGAACAAACATCTATAATTACAGTTAAAGTAAAATTAATTTATAAGAGTTTTACTCCAAGAATTCACCAATTTTCCCTCACAATAAAAATTTTATATTTTTGTAATTTATACTATGCGAAAACATCGAGTACCTAACTGTAATATCTAATATATATGACGGTGCTTCAATTAAGGATTAGTTTAATAATAAATTTCTTAGGGAATTCATTTGATTTGTTCTATAAAATTATACGCGGCTAGTGCTGAGCGGGTAGTGATTGTCAAACGAATTGCACAAGCCTTACCTAGTTGCTCATAATCCATTTTCATCTTATTATTAGAATGTGATTTTAAATAAAATTGTAAAGAAATCTAGTTATAATATATTGTAAAATACAAGTGTGCTTTTATTTATGAGTTCCAATCGTCACAACGCCCATAATGGATATGAAAAGACCAAGACCGCCATGAAGCATTCTCCTGACGTATATATAACAAGTTTTTATTATTATAAATTTATTACCAAGAGATAATAAAAACATTTTCATTATATTTACCCATGTCCAAAGCTTCTCCCCATGTTATAGGATTGTGGCCAGATTGAGTCACATTACAAATCCTAACTTCTTTTGGCCTGAAAAAATATAAACAAAAATTATATACAGTCCACAAAAATATACTGAAATTGTTTTTTAAAACATTAAACACTACGTTCCAAATAATCTAATTCTAGCATTTTATAAAACTAAGTTTAGCTAATTGAAAATTTTAATAGAATTCGCGAGTTTTACACATTTAAATGGAACTAATATTTTTCGGATTTACTACGCGATTTATTTTTGATAAAAACTACACGCTCCCGAAGTTTCGCTTACTTTTCAGCTACCGTGATCACGGGCAGACGAGATGTGAATATCAGAAGTCGGTAATATGTAGTTTTTTACAAATAAAACTCACTTTTCAATTGCTGTTAAATATGCTAACAGAATGCAAGCATTGACAGCGTAGTCCACAGGTACGACGTCGGCTTGGTAGGAAGGATGGCAGTGCATTGTACGAATAACGCCTGATGAAAAAAAATAGCTATAATTTATATACACACAAAAGATACATTGCTATTATTTTTTAAAAGGATTAATTAACACTAAACTAAATTAAATTTGTTATTTAAACAGAGTAATTTTTATATGATACTATTATATATAAATAAATAATGCCATTTTATATAAGATAAACAGTTTTTGAGTGTTAAACCAATATATATAACTAGCTTTCCGCCCGTAGCTTCGTCCACGTGGAATTCGGTTATATGGCGTTTCCAAGAGAACCTTTCAAAAGTCTGAGATAAAAACTATCCCATGTTCTTTCTCAAGATCAACTCTATCTCTGTACCAAATTTCATTAAAATCAGTTCAGTGGTTTAATCATGAAAGCGTAACAGATAGACAGACAGAGTTACTTTCGCATTTATAATATTAGTAGGGATTAAAGCAAATACTTGCCTTTTCCAGCTCCTACTAAAAGACCTGTTGGTCCATTGAGATTATCAACCCATCCTGGCAAAGGCTCCTTGTGAGCAGCAGTCACTGTTAACAAAATCATTATTAAAAAGTAATATAATTTAGGACTTTTTTTATAATACAGTAGAATTAGAACTAAGTAGTAGTATTACAACTAAATAACTTTTGTATTTTATCCTTTTAATACACAAATTTATAAGATTGTTTTACGAAAATAAAATAAAAGTGCAATAAATCTATATAATTACCAATAGATGGCCTTGCTATCACAATGGGATACTTCCCCGCTTTTTGAGAAACGAGATCTTCAGTTAATGATTTGGTGTAAGCGTACGTGTTTGGTTGTGGCTCAATTAACCTGGAAAAGATTAGAAGTTCCTTAATAAAACTTATGATTATGATATTACTTATATATACTTATATGTTAAAATACTATATTTCAGATATTAATGCAGCCACCAGGTTCGAAGATAGAGATTTCACGAATCTTTCGAAGTCAAATAAAATCTGAAATTATTATTTAGACTCCTCTTCTTCTTCCTGGCAATTTCCCAGCTCTATCCAGATTTTGCCTAACATGTTATGAATAGTTTATGGCTATTTGTTTTTACGACCGGCCCCCTGCCTGACATCAACCCTTTTTTTGGGAATCAGCATTAATCAGTGATGTCTAAATACTCTTAGAAAGTACATATGACTCGGAAAAATCACATTGGTACTTGCCATATCTAGGATCGAACCCGCGCCCTCATGCATGAGAGGCGGGCCTTTTAACCACTAGGCCACCACGACTTATAATTATTTAGACTACTTCTACTTCTACCTGGCAATTTCCCAGCTATAGCCAGGGTCTGCCTTACATGTTGTGAATAGTTTTGGCTATTTGTTTTTACGACCGGCCGCCTGCCTGACATCAACCCTCTTTTTGGGAATCAACATTAATCAGTGATGTCTAAATACTCTTAGAAAGTACATATGACTCGGAAAAAATCACATTGGTATTTTGCCCGGGCCAGGATCGAACCCGCGCCCTCATGGATGAGAGGCGGGCCTTTTAACCACTAGGCCACCACGACTTATAATTATTTAGACTACTTCTACTTCTACCTGGCAATTTCCCAGCTATAGCCAGGGTCTGCCTTACATGTTGTGAATAGTTTTGGCTATTTGTTTTTACGACCGGCCGCCTGCCTGACATCAACCCTCTTTTTGGGAATCAACATTAATCAGTGATGTCTAAATACTCTTAGAAAGTACATATGACTCGGAAAAAATCACATTGGTATTTTGCCCGGGCCAGGATCGAACCCGCGTCCTCAGCAACGAGAGGCGGGCCTTTTAACCACTGGGCCACCACTGACTCTTATAATTATTTAGATTGGTTATAATTATTTAGACTAACTATACTTAATCTCCCGTTTTAAAAGAAAATTTAACTATTTTTGAATACTATGTATAATAAAGATAAAAAAATACATGTTCTGGACCGTGACTATGCTTCAGACGATCATGGAATATCTTAATAATATCATAAATATATAGATATTTAAATGTATGGATGTTTGATTTTATTCTCAAATCATTATTTGTACTATAATATTATATACTATACGAATACTATAATATTATATACTATACGAATAAAATATATTAAAAAGCTAAACTGTTAGTTGCTCATGTTGATAAAAAAATTACATTTGCACAATCAATTGCATATTACTTATACATATTAATGAAAAATTAAATTACAAATATTATGGAAGCAAAATTTTATGATTTTATTATAAATATTATGACTTGTGAATGTATAATATATTTTATATAAATTTTAATAATATTTGAATGAATTAGAGGTGACAAAATGGGTATAATCTGTGGCAAGATGTCAGAAACAGAAATTTATTTTCATTATTATTGCTTAATAATTAATAGTCATTTTAATTATTGATTTTATAATTCATGAATATGGACTGTAATGCTTATATTTTAAATTATATTAGATATTTTAAATTATATTAAGGCAGACCCTGGCCAAAGCTGGGAAATTGCCAGGTTGAAGAAGAAGATTTTATAATATGTCTTCTAGAAGAAAATAAACATAACATCTCTTTGTTTCACCTGTCTTAATAAATGAGAGATGAAATGACCATTGTAAGGCAGTATTTTTTGTTTTAATACGCTTAGGAATTAAAATAATACGAGTAATATACTTATTGAAATTTTTCCAAAAATAAGTCTTTGGAGACATGTTTATTCACATTCGCATACTATCATGAAAAATTTTGCAATAAATATAAAACTATCAATAAACTACGCAATTATTATTTTTCCCATTAAATTTACCATTTACTATTTAATGTACCATTCATGTGCTGTTATTTCTTTAATATATTACGTTACTTATTGATTTCAAATGTATATATATCTTTTGGGATATTTAAATAATAATATTGAAATGATAGATAGTTTGAAACTGATTACATTCCTAATGTATGATTCCTAATGTACCTAATGTATGATCGAGGTATTTTTTGTCTGATACCCGGTTATCTGGGGTGGTTTTATCAAAAGAATTTAATTCGATCGTCATCATCAGCCTATCAGAGCCCACTGCTGAGCAAGGCCTCTTTTTCACATGGAGGTTTGAGCATTAATCACCATGCTTGCTCAAGACGGATTGTTGATTTCAAACTTATAATTATGAAACTATAAGTCCAGGTTTCCTCACGATGTTTTCCTTCACCGTATGTCAGTGGTGTCTAAATATTCTCAGAAAGTACATATGACTCCGAAAAATTACATTGGTACTTGCCAGGTTTGAACCCGCGCCCACGGCAACGAGAGGCGGGCCCCTTAACCACTAGGCCACCACTGACTATTATTAATTCGATCACCAATATCAATTTTACAGCTGGAAAACGGAACCCATGTCCAAAAAAACGGTGGACTACCGAAACAAGATCGCTTCACTCCTGTATCGAGAGAATTTGATTGAAAAAGTTCGAAGGTGCATCCCGTAGTGTATGATATTAATTCTACATTTAATTACAATAGTTATCAAATTATAGAAATATGCTGACACGATACAAAAAGTATAACTATTTTGTGCAAATATAAAATTGCTTTGAACTCTCAAATAAAATTCTTCAAGCTGAATTAGTCACGATTACTTTTAATGTACTTATACTTTAATGTACTTTACTGTACTATCCAGTTAATATAGCCACAAGAAACTATTTGTAAATAGTAATCTGATGTTTTTGGGGATATTTTAATAATATATATATGTACATTATAACAGCGTTTTGGTAAAGATTTCAACCTAACTTGAAGTTGGGAATTAAAGCTAGATGTAGTTTTGTACATACTCGATATGTGCATAGGTAGTAACTGTATATCCATACTAATATTTTAAGTTTGTTTGAACGCGCTAATCTCGGGAACTACTGGTTCGAATCGAAAAATTCTTTTTGTGTTAATAGGCCATTTATCGAGGAAGGCTTTAGATATAACATCACGCTGCGACTAACAGAAGCGAAGAAACAGTAGAAAATATGGAAAAAAGGGAAAAATTATTAATCTTTGCTTAAGCTGAGGAGGTTCTTTGCAAAAAAAATTATAATGACCACAATAAGAAGAGTCGAGCATAGCTAGTAAGTTACAAGTGTAGATGTCAAGTTAATTGAATTATATTATTACTTGGTCTGTAGATATGTCAGGAGTTCGTCATCCATCCATTTAACGCACTCCATCACGTCTTGTGGCCTGTGCTTGGCTGGGTACAGACGCTCCTCTAAAGTGTGAACTTCACAACGGCAGTATGACGTAGAGACATGCACGAAAACCTACAAATATATTTAAAACTAAAGTTCATGTATTACATTATTATTACTATAGCTTATAAGTAATTCTTCGTATTTATCAACAATTAATTGTTACCAATGGTGTTAATACTTCCTTTTTTTATAATGTTATATCACAATAACAATACATTCAAGCGACGAATTGATAAAATTCAACAGATATTTCTAATGATTAAAAGCTTTTGTATTTAATTGTAATATTAATTTAAAGTCTTTGTTTTAGTTTTTAAGTTCTTATTTGTCTATTTGTAGTAAATTCATTAAATAATAAGTGTGTAAAATTGGAATATGGTTCTGGAAATAAAGTGATTTATTATTATTATTATTTTTGTTCTCACCTCAAGATTGACAATACCATCCGCTAATTTGAGAACCTTGTTTGTGCCCAAGGTATTCATATTGACTGCATCACGTATGGGCATATCGAATCTGTAAATGTATAAATAAATCAACTATTAGGAAGGTCAATTAATTCAGAATTTGATTGATTGGTTGATTGATTGATTGATTGATTCATTCATTGAGTATGAACATATACAACATTAAAAATTATAAGGAAAATTCATTCAAAATACAAATAATTTGTACAGAAAATGAGAGTATTTAGACACCATTGACATTGAAGGAAAACATCGTGAGGAAACCTGGACTTATAATTTCATAATTATAAGTTTGAAATCACCAACCCGTCTTGAGCAAGTGTTGTGATTAATGCTCAAACCTTTTCCATGTGAGAAAGAGGCCTTTGCTCAGCTGTGGGCTCTGATAGGCTGATGACTACTTGAAAATATAAGAGTATATTTTGAATTACCGAACACAAGCAGCACAGTGGAACACAATCTGAGTTTCTCTTTGTAATATGTCCCAATCTTCTATGGAGATGCCTAGGTCTTCTTGCAGTATATCTCCTGCGATCACCGCTAGCTTGTCGAAGCACTTGGGCGATTTTTCTTGGAGATTGTCGAAAACCTGAAATTTTTATACGTATAAAATAATCATATTAACCATTTAATTTATATGGTACTAGAAGACCTGGCGAACTTCGTATCGCCCTATAATCAAGAAATATCTATTACGTTTTTTTATTTATATTTTTGGAGTTTACCTGTAAGCCATAAATTTCCGTGTTTTGAAGTGCAACAGAATGATTGACATATTAGTTAGTTGTCAAATCTAATGTCAAAAAAAACGTTTGTATGGGAAATAGAAAAGGGCTGATTTTATGGTTTTCCCAGTAATGAATAATTTTTTTTCAGCTTTTATATCTTCCCTGAACCTCCACGAACATTTCAAGACTATGATAAGATAAATCCGTTCAGCTGTTCTCGAGTTTTAGCGAGACTAAGGAACAGCAATCCATTTTTATATATATAGATAGATTGAACATAAAAGTATATTTACCCTACAATTGAAGTAATCATCAAGCCTTTCTTTCGTACTCTGCCCTTTCTTTGGTCGCATTAATAAATAGATTTTATTTAAATCGGGACAGCATCTTAATAACTTCTCAACTAAAACTTTCCCCATAAACCCTGTCCCTCCTGTCAGAAATATTGTTTTGTGCTTGTAAAACTCAGCCACGCCGATAGATGGCGCCATTTTTAATTACTTCTCCTGAAACAATATAAATAGTCAATAATTATTATTTAAGCATAATAATATTATAAAAATATTGTCCAGCTATGTGTGAGGCATCTATATTGACTCATATGAATTTTGTTTTCAAAAATAAACATTTAATTAATACTTTTTCCACTTGTCGTTTCATTCAACACAAAATAAGTAAGTACCACATACAGTATTTGCGTTTAATTTAACGAATATACACATTAATGTCTAGATAAAAGCCTAATAATTAAAAAACTGATAGTTTACGATAGATAAACAATATTATAATTATAAAATTAGCAATGTCGTGTGATATTTTGTTGTAAGACGTTATTGTCAAGGCTTTTTTTACTACGTGTGTAACGTCTTGTGCAAGTAGACGGAATAATCTTATACGTCCTTGCATTTATATCTTAATAATATTTTGTAACGCAGTTGGCAAATTTTTCTTATTAACTTATAACTGATCTTATATATAGAATAGGACTTCTACATATATATAGAAGTCCTATTAGTTACACTATTTATAACTTAAGAACGGTTGTAGGGATATGGTTGAAAATTTATTCGATCCAAACGGAAAAAAGCTTAATAGACTAGATTATCTTGTTATTTAGGACATATAAGTATGGAAAGACTTTGTCCGGGCAGCTATACTTATATTAGTAATTCCGAAATTAACGCAGACGAAGTCACTGTCGAAAACTAGTATGCAATAAAAGTAATTGCATCTTAACGTAAATTTTTGAATAATATATAGTTTAATAAATTATTTTGTAATATGTTAGACAAATCTTTTATAATTTTGATTACTTATTTAGATTTCATTTCATAACACTTAAATTATTGTAATCTACGACCCAGATTTTTTTTTGAAACAAAAATATGTTTAGGTATTTTGATTGTTTTTAATCAGTTTTAATAGAAGTTATATATAAGTTTATTTTAAAAATCAAGACGACATTCATCATCATTATGCTTACCAAAAGTTTGCGTACCTAAGCCTTCTCATAAGTGCTAAATGTTAAACGAGAAACATTACGTATTCAGTAAGACAGAACAAATTTGTGGTAAGCGTATCGATATTTTTTAAAGTAAAAGTTCCTTTTGTTACGATTGCAATTTTAAACAACTTTTCTTACCTCGTCTTCTATTAAGACCCAGTTTCACCAATCATTGTTAAATAAGTAACATCGTGTTAATGCGTTTGATACTCTGTTAGATGTATCGAGCGTCCCACCACGCACAAATGTCCGTTTAAATGTCTTAACAAGCTACTAATATTAATTCCTGCTCTGGAGCTCCGTCTCATGGCTAACAGAATGTTAATGCATTGTCAAAACTCAATTGTCCAATCACAGCCCTAATTTCTTGTAACCATAGTAACGTCATCTGTTTTGTCAGTTTCGACTATTTCCTTATTATTATTAATAAAGTGAATTAAATTTCATTTCCTTAGATGATTTTGCCTCCAGCTTTTTTATAACATTGCAAATAAATTTTTCATTTTATCTCTTATAATTTGAACACAATTTATGCCTATATTTATAACATAATAATATATTGACAACCCGATTTTGACAGGTTACACCTAGTTAATTGAAAAGAAAGCTTTTTGTGTGCCAAATGTATGCAACCAACGATATATAAAATTTGGTCGCATAAGCTTACAAGTGACGTATCGAGGGATATATACGATCAAAGTATAAAGTGGTGCATCGTGGCAAACGTGCCGTATTAAACGTTATAGTTTCCACTTGGTCGTCTTATAATAAGAACGAATAATTTGGTAGTCGGTCATTTGACATGACGTTTAATAATGCGTTGTTATTTTGTCATCGTGGGACGTAAATATTTTAACAGACATTCATAATTTTGTAGGTTGGTTAGTAAATGCTGTGATGAGCTTAAACAAACATTAATTGGTGAAACTGGGCCTTAGACCAAAATAGCAACTGACTAACAATTGTATATGTCATATTGAATCAGTAATTTAATAGTTATGATTCTTTTTGCATTGTTACAAATAATGACTCAATCCTTCACAGGAATAATTAACGTATTTTTTATTTATCTCTGTTATAATCACAATTTAACCTTTCTTAAAACAATTAGATAACACGAAAATCTATTTTATTTATATACCTAGTCATATATATACACAATTAAAAACTTTATCAAATTATACTAGTATATTATTTTTTGATAATAATGAATAGTGAGTGGATTCTTAGTGGTTAAAGCCCGCCTCTCGTGCATGAGGGCGCGAGTTCGATCCTGGCAAGTACCAATGTGATTTTTCCGAGTCTTATGTACTTTCTGAGAGAATTTAGACACCACTGACAGACGGTGAAGGAAAACAAGTAAGGCAGACCCTGGCTGAGCTGGGAATTTGTCAGAAAGAAGAAGATAACAAATAATGAATCATTCTTATTCCTACTAAAGGTTTCTCTCATACGTTTTACTTACAGTTACCAGTAATATATCATATTTTTTAATATTAAATACGTTAAACGCCGAGTATATAGTTTATGAATACTCGTCTTAAGGATACAGTTTACAACCAATTCACTTTGTTTTTCCATTACGCAAGTTATACCATATTAATTGCATCTTAGGAAATATTACATCAGTTCTATTATCCGATTAGTTCTACAAGGAAACTACATTATGTAGTGTTTGTTCGTCAAAGAATAAAATAATTTTAATATATGAAAAATAACATAAAAATCTCTTTATATTTATGGTGAAACACATTATTAAATTAAAATAATAAATATATGTTTTTATGTATATATGCAATTATATTATTTTAATATATAAATGAATATTTATGTTTATATTCATAGTCGAAATGATTTATAGATATTTAATTATATTTTTAATATTCTTTTTATATAAATAATCTCAATATATTAAAAAAGAAACGTTCGTTGTTAATTTTCAGTAAAATTTTATATTAAAATATCTGAAATTGCATTATTTTATTTGTCAAATTAATTTCTGTTTTATGCTTTTACATTGAACGTTCTGGTAATCGACTAAAATTTAATAAATTACATTTATATATCTTCTTCTACCTGGTAATTTCCCAGCTTCAGCCAGGGTCTACCTTACATGTTGTGAATAGTTTTGGCTATATGTTTTTACGACCGGCCGCCTGCCTGACATCAACCCTCTTTGGGAATGCATATATATTTAAGATACTACATAATATCACATTACATACTCACAAATATTTAACATTTTATTCGTAAATATGAATAAAAATTATTATACTTGTCCTCAAATTAATCCTACATACTTATAAATTAGTATATTTTAAACCTAAAAAACTCGCAAGGCTGTTGATTATATATCTTTTATATATATCACAAAAAAATATGAAACAGCCGCTATTGTTGAATTATTTTCTCGTAATATACACCTTGTAACAATATTACGAATTCTAATCCATTATTAATATGAAAATAATAAAAATTTGATTGTTATAATGTTCTAGATTATAAGATTATGTACTAGTGAAGAAAATTCAAGTTTATTTACATTGTAAGTCGGTAAAAACGTGATGCAATGCCATAGTATTGTAGGAACAATATATATGCATGATTGCAGAGTTACCTTCGTATAGTATGTCGCCATTCAAGAAACCTATTGTTCTTTGAAGCTCTTGATAAAATCGGATACGTGGAGATCGAAATAAAGACAACTTATTATTTCCATATTTCATTAATAGTCTAGCCGATTATAGAATAAGCTTTTTGATTAATCGGCTAATTTAAAAAGAAAAACAAACTTAAATACATGCATATTCTAAATACTGTTTATATGTATTTTACATATAAGATTTGTTTGTTATAAAGTACCTTAATTTTAAAGATATATCTATTTTGCAGTATAACCTGACAGGTGACACGAGTATTAACCATTATTTAACGTTTCGGCTATATTATTTATATAAGCTTACAAAATCTAATCATTTAGCTGTTTTATAGATTGGCTTGATAGGTCACTCCAATTTAAACGGTGAGGTAATAATGACTCGGCTATATGTCATGTGCCTTCAATCATTCTTGCGATATAAAGTCCTTAATAATAATTCCTTTCAAATAACAAATGATTATCTTAAGGCATATTAAATTTTGTATCATTTTGATTTGGATAATTAATAATATACAATGAGTTATTTCTAGCCGGTTGAAATAAGTGATAGCCATTTTCAAATTAAATTTTGTTTTAAATAACACATGTATTTAGTCAGTGGTGGCCCAGTGGTTAAAGGCCCGCCTCTCGTTGCCGAGGGCGCGGGTTCGATCCTGGCCCGGGCAAGTACCAATGTGATTTTTCCGAATCATATGTACTTTCTAAGAATATTTAGACATCACTGATTAATGTTGATTCCCAAAAAGAGGGTTGATGTCAGGCAGGCGGCCGGTCGTAAAAACAAATAGCCAAAACTATTCACAGCATGTAAGGCAGAGCCTGGCTATAGCTGGGAAATTGCCAGGTAGAAGAAGAAGGTTATAAGTTAATTAATATATTGCGAATATATAAAATAGACAGTTTAGTTTAGTTTTTATCAAAATTAAAATCGCGTACTACATCCGTAAAATATAAGTTTCATTTAAATGACTCGCAAAATTCTCAGATTTCAAAATATAGTTTGTCTAATACATATAAGAAATGATAAACATGCATCCTAACATGTGTTTATATACTTACTAGTAAACCTGGCGAACTCCGTTTCGCCTCCAGAAGGCTTTGTTTTATGTAACATTTCGTTTGGTGATTAAAAGATGAAGATTTTTTTTGTTTTATATTTGAAAAGGAAAATTTTTATTTCATTTCACAACAGTAATGAATTCATTTTACAAAAATAAAGTGTTATTTAATTGAACTTCTCTAAGTAAATGAAAGTGAATCCAAAGTAAATACCGAATCGAAGCGTTATACGTGTCCGCAAATTATCCGTTTCATTGAAGCGCTCCTTT